AATATCTACTCAAATTTATTCCCTGAAGAAGTAGCTTACTCTGAGTCACGAAACGTCAGAAAATTCAAAAACTTAATTTTTCTACTCATTTGAGTGTTACAAATATAATACTTTTACTTATAGTAATCAGAAGGGGTTTTGTGGAGATTTCAGTATTTTCATAGTTGAAATCATGAGTCAATTGAAGCTAGACTACCATGGAAAATCTGGAAGCACTGGACGGCCATTTCGTCCTGTTATGGGACTCCTCAACAATGCACATCCACTATCCTGCCTCGCCTGATTCGAACCCAAGTCCTACCAGTCTCGCGCCAGAGCACTTAAACGATAGTAGTATTATTATTACAAATATTACTATTATTATAAACAAAACAGAATTTATATAAATAAATCTTTATAGAAAAACACTTCTCAAACTTAATAACGACTACTTTTATGTTGATTAGTTAGACAGTTTTGAGTTCAGGTATTTTTGGGTATCAAATTATTTTGTATAATCCTCCCATTTTATAAATTTCATTAAAACAAAAACAATATTCACAGTTGAACAATGGGATTTTATTAAATCTTTTGAATTTCCTTCTATAGTTTACACGTTAAGACAATAGAATTATTTATTTTAAAGACTAGAGTATATATTTTAAATCACGTTTACTGAACGGTATTGGTTGAAGTTAGAAGTGACATGGGGGTAGACTAACTGGAAACAATAGACAAGGAATGATTCTACTAGTTAGTTATATGGTTATTCATTTATATTGTGATGTACATGTTAAATGTTTTTCAAGACTTTGAAATTCTATAATAAACAATAAAGAATGGAGTTTAGGTCTTTTCTTACTTTAAATACAGCAATTAGAAATCTAAAGCAATTAGTCCCTTTGATAAATTTCGATAATGTAATAAGAAGACGAAGATTATCAGAACTATGTCCTGATAATCTGTTCTGATAATGTTCTGATAATCTTCGTCTTCTTATTACATTATCGAAATTAGAAATCTGTTGTGTACTTATTTTGCATACTGTAATTTGCTAAAGTCAACAACTTGATGTACTAAAACCCAATTGACTCAGTTAGAAATCTTCTTCTCTCCATAAATTATTGAATTTCATAATATACATCGCAAATTGATCATATTCAGACATTTACTCCCAAATAGCATTAGAAGATGGTTGAGTATTATCGCGAATCGATCTAAGTTAGATATTTAAACTATCGGATGCCGGGTAACTGGTTTAAGGCATTAGCTCTCACCATAATAAATGAAAGTCTTGAGTACGGTCCTCTGTGAGATCGTGAATGTGAATCAATAAGAAGTTCTATACTTAAAAAAACAGCTGTTCAGTGTTTCTGGTTTTCAGTAGTTGTCTAATTAAGATTTATTCATGATGTAATTGATTTTTGTGCATCTACAATTACGCAACAGAAGGTATCAACTTATCATTTATGAAAATATTATTTCTCCATATGCTTTTTAGTTTTTGCTTATGCCATATTTAATAAACTACCCTTAAAATTAATTAATCATGTGAGCGACTAGTGAAGTTCTACCATATACACTGCTTTTAACATACTTTCTTCATGTTATCGTCGAACCCCGTATTCAAATAATTCTTATTATCGCTTAAGACTGTAAGCATCTGAGGAGAATACATAAAATTAATGGATTCATATTGTTTTACTAGCATTATTATCATTGATTTATCTTGGCAAAATCCCAGTAATAATAGGAAAATGTACAGTACTTTTTGGCACAAAAACTTTGAAGATGTTGAACAACATTAATTGACGGTGAATGTGGACGACCAAATTATCTTAATGTTGTGAAGTCTAATGATGATTCTATATTAAATTGTTATGTGACTTTCGTAATACGAGATGTAGTGACCTGATTTATTTATCCGTCACTTTATTTCAAATCAGAAAAATAATGTCACTGATAGTCAGTGATAGGAACGTTACTGTTTTATGACTTAACAAAAAAAATAAAAAATACTATCTGTCTTGGTTCATTTCTGAAATGTGTTCAGTTTTTCGAATTCGCTGATATTCAACTTTAGTGAGTTAGGAAATGGTCTTGAAGCTTCGAAAGTTAGACCTAGTTATTCAAAATAGCTTTTTGTAACCATTAGATGATCATTGTTTCTATCAGTAGACTAGGATTAACAGTTGTGAAAACTTAATGGAGATGTTGGATAACATTTACCATGAATTTCTTAATCTTATTCATAAGTTTATGTAGTAAGCTTCATCATTATTAATCGGCCGTATTCAAATAATTATTCACCACATTACTGATATTTCTTTTTATTATAAAAGTAGCATTCCGTTCATTATCACCAACTGTCACTGTATTAGCAACTTCAAAGTAATACCTAATAGGTTATTTATCAGCTAGATTAAGTTTCCCACTTTTGTGCGGCATTCAAACAAACTGGAGAACTATGATCTATCAACTTTCACTGATAAATCATCGTTACAAATACTGTAAGGTTATGATGTAACCCATTATTACATTTGTTTTAAGTTCAAGACTTGTTAACTTGAAAGCGATTATTAGCGATTGGTTAAAATTAGTTAAATTTAACAAATAAATTGTGTATAACGGTCTTTGTGAACATTGTCCAGTCCTTATAATTATCATTTCAAACTGATTTTACTTAAATATCTATTGGAAACGAATAAATATTAGGAGGTTGTTTCGTTCCAGTATGAAACTTCTCAGAAGTGTATATCTAGTAATCCACTTGGGATCGAACCAAGGATCTTCACTCTTATTCGCAAACGTTTAAACTCCGGGCTATTGAACAGACGCCCATTTGTGCATATTGTTAAATTTGTTCAGTTTGCTAAAATCAACTCGTGATACAAATTATGAATATTCTACAATCTTCACAAATTCCCTTGCACTTATGGTTTTTATGAGCTCACTATTCACCAACTCCGATAAGCTGCACCTTTAGTACTAAGGAATAGCTGTAATCAATTACCCACCTCAACTTGATATTACCAGTTAGTTGATCCTGGACATGTACATCATCGAGTATGAGCTTGGTAATCATACGTTTAAGCGCTTGCTGTGGAGGCTAAAGGCCCAAGGTGCATATTATTAAGGAGTTTCACATTAGGATGAAATAACTTTGAAAAGTTATCTAATTCTCAATGGATGATTAGCTAAGATTAATCTATGATGTGAACTATAAAAAAATTTCTCTTATGATTTTAATTCTTTAATAATACTTTGTATTCAAGAATAAGATTGGTAAAAACTATAAATTGATTGTCATAGCAACGATTTCTTTTTTTTTAATCCACGTTTTCGATTGGTTCTAAAACCATTGTTTAATTTGTTTCTTTACTACTGGCATTATCGGTCAATTTATACCATTTTATTAGAAACATGAACCGTCTAATTCATGTATTTTTTTATTACTTTAAACACATGGAAACATGAATTGTTCGCCCGTATTAAACAATATCGAACAACCGTAGAAACAATATATCATTAAAATATATATTCAAATAGTAATCAATAATGCTCATAGATATTACTTTGCATAACAACAAATAGAAATAACAATATTTTTGAAAGAATAAAAATTCAGTTGAATACTCTTGAAATACCTGTCCGCCTTTCCAAGAGATCTCTCTCTCCCTCTCCCTCTCTCTCTCTCTATATATATATATATATATATATATCATCGTTGTTTTAGTGAACTTACTAGATTGAAATGTTAAACAAATAAAAATTTATCAAATGGGAACTAATAATCCAATGGATATTTCAATCATTGATAAAACACATTGTAATGAATTGAATACATTACAAATAAATATTGAATATGAACCAAACTTTGACCTTGATAATATTGATAAAAAAGGAAATAAGCGTGATTTTCAAAAGTTTACTGGGGTATTAAATGTAAAATGTTTAAATATTGAGCATATAAATGATCTAGATAAGAATAATAATTCTTGTTGTTATACAATGCGTAATCATTCATTTAATCCTTATGATTATCCATATGAACATCATGTTCATTGTGTAAGTCAAAATAATGATGATATGGATATGTATACTACTACCAATAATAATACTAATAATAGTAATAAATACAATGATGATAATGCTGTTGATTTTGACTGTAAAAGATCACATATAATAGACATAATAAGACCACCACAGATACCACCACGTAAATATCAAAGATCAACTAATTTATTAATTTTTAATATGATAAGATCACCATCTGATACTTGTTTGATAAGCAGAAAAGTAAGCTGTACTTAATTATTATTATTATTATTTAAAGCAATTAGTCCATTTGATCATTTTCGATAATGTAATAAGAAGACGAAGATTATCAAAACTATGTGATATGTTAGCGCAATACATTTTGGACAATTTGATCACACATATACTTGTTAAGAAGATTTATATATAAAAATAGGTCAACTAGACTAGAAATGGGGGTTAGGAGGAGACAAACATAACAAAGAAAATAATATGAAAAATAATTTGAAACCTAATCGCTCTGGATAATAACCTAATATTACCAGGGTAGGTTTAAGGTAAGAACAAACTGTTTTTGAATACAAAAAGAGGGTTTGAATTTTCTTATAGTTAAGGTTTCAATAAACCTTAGTATATACTTATTTACACTTTTATACAACACCACAAAAGCCGGGTTAAAATCAATCTTATGGTCTGTTTCGATTATATGTTTGGCAATAGAGGATGATGAATGTTTATCCTCTACTCTTATCGGGTTTCTGTAACCATTTTGATACATGTTCACACACCCTAATTTTCAGATCATGATTGCTCCTCCTTATATATTGTTCGAAATCTATTGCGCTAATATATCACATAGTTCTGATAATCTTCGTCTTCTTATTACACTATCGAAATTATTATTACTATTTTTGTTTTATTTTATTAGTTTGAATGTTTAAACAAGAAAGTTAAAATTATTTTTTATATTTGATGATATTTAGTCATTTGACTTTCATGAATCTGGAGTACATCCAACGATAACAGCAACAACAACAAAAACTGTTCACATCACAATGACAGTGTTAATGATGATGATAATAATAATAATAATAATAATAATAATGATCCATCTGATGATGTAACACAGTGAAATGCAAACAACTACGAAATGACCCTACCTATCTCATTCTTACCTGTCGATCATCATGATACTACCATAGTTACCAACGATCATAAAATTATGAAATCTTTAAGTGATTATTATATAAATGAAAATAAACGAAAATTTCATTCAAATTTACAAACAAATTTCAGTGAATTCACTTGTTTCTCACAAATAATTAAACAAACTAATCCATTAGCTCATAATTCTAATCAAAATACTAAAATATTTACATCAAATAAAGATAATCTGATATTATCCCAACATGAAAATCAACAAATAATACAATCTCCGCAATATAATTATATGCCAAGATTGAATAAAATGCCTAGAGATTTAAGAAGTGTAAGCATTTTAAATAAATAGTAGTATTGAAAGTAAATGAAATTACATTTTAAAATATATAATTTAGTAGTTTGATATGATCATCTTTGTGTTATAAATCTATTGATCAAAAGATATTGTTGTTGAAAGTATAAAAATGTAAGTATGAGACCATATTTTGACTAATGGGTCCTGGGTTTGAATCGTGCGAGATGGGATCGCATATGCGCACCGTTGAGGAGTCCTACAATAGGACGAGTTGGCCGTCCAGTGCATCTACGTTTTCCATGGTGACCTAGATTCAATTGACTAGTGATTTCAACTATATAAAATTATTAAAATCTCCATAAAAACCCCTTCTTATATTCATCAACATATGCTCACTAGTGATTGACTTCAAGAGATATTTCCTAGAGTTCTAGTGGGAAGTAGTGACCAGTGGAGTTCAACCAGGTCTGTTGTGAGATAGTAGCTCACTGCAGACAATGGTGAACGGTCGCTTAATTTCGTGGATTGGTTGAAGTTAGACATTAACACCATTGGATTCTGACTCAGTGGTCTAGAGTTTAAGCTCTCGCGCGCGAGACTGATAGGTACTGGGTTGGAATCTCGCGAGACAGGATCGTGTATATGCACTGTCGAGAAACTTCACAATAGGATGAGTCGGCTGTCTAGTGCTTCTAGGTTTTCCATCATGGTCTAGCTTCAATTGACTCATGTTTTCAACTATAAAATTACTTAAATCTCCACATAAAACGTCTTCTAATTTTGATAATCGTTATAGAGCTTATACTTCAAAATAAAATTGGGAAGGGTTATTATTACTAGACATTGAAGATTGAATCAACAAAAAAAGTTTTAAAAATACTTCAAGCTATTCCAAACTTAAAGTATACAGTAGTATCGTTTTTCTATGGAGGAGGAAAATTTTTACTAATTTAGTATTTTCCTGTTAAAGAACTGTAATAATAAATTATTTGTATCGATCGCTTCAATTTTCCAATCAATGTTTATGATTTGAGTTGATCAATATCTCTTGAAACATATACATCCTGTGCGGATTGTCTTGACATTGTCATCAAGGTGCAAATGTTTCAAATGGAGATAGATGATGGTTATTAGTGGAATCCAAAACGCAGGTTTAGTCTTATTTTGGGACTGATCAGCTGGATGCACCTGGTAAATTGAATTCCTAAACATCAATATGAAAATTCAGACGACCAATGCAAACGAATTAAAATTCACTTCATTCCTCATACAGTCGTTATTTGGACTTGATAATGAAGGAAATAATGATTTGACATTTTAAATGAAAGACTCTAAGTTCGAGACCTGGAGTAAACACCAACACTAGGTTGAAGGTAATTCCATCTGACAAGTCCAAAATAGAGTGCAACCTTCCTCCTGGATTCTATTGCTAGCCATCACCTATTTCCACCTAGAATGTATTAATATTGTTTCAAATATCTAGGTGAAAGCATTCATTTGCATAAATTATTAACTTTTTTAGTTTATTTAATTAAAATTATGTCTAAAGAATAAATATCTCTAGGAAAGCATATCTACTGGTAAACAACTAGATTGGAAATCATCTGATTTATGGACATCAATTGATTGTTGTAAAGTTAATAAATATTTCAAAAGATCAAGTTGACTAATATGTTAATTAGTAATACTTACATTTGATAGTATGGACTTAACAACAGAGATTTATTTTGTACATTATTATCTAATACATTGTCTACATTTAAGAGTTAGCATTTTTTTACATTTATTTGAAGGGGGTTTCGTGAAGACTGGTTTAATCTGTAGGTTGCAGTAGTCACATTTGGGGTACAATTGATAGCTGTAACTTACAGGTGTTGAACCATTTAGATGTTGTTACCCGAAACCCAACTAATCAATGAACTCAGGTTTTTCAGGTTTTGTTCGCCCACTACTAGTTTATTTCAAGATTTTCTTGAAGTTACAGTGAGAAGAAGTGACTAATAGAGTTAAGGCAATTTGAGTGGGAAACAGGTATTAACGATAAGACTGGATGGAAGACACAGCATATCATAAACAGATTGAAGTTGAATTCAAACGATAAAATACTGACCCAATCGTTCTACTCATTAGATTTGGAGGTCTTGAGTGCGATTCCTGTTGAAATCGTGGGTATGTATGGTCAAGTAGTCGCATATTAGAACAGAAAACTTGTCTAGTACTACCTGATTTCTAATTGTACCACAAGGAGAATGAATTCGTGATGAATTCGGTGTTCTTCTTGTTGTGATAACGAGGTATGGCAACTTGGACCGATTCACATCTGTGCCTGGTCCTACGTTGTAGCTGATTGACTGATTGAAAGTCATGAAATTGGCTACTCAACAGTGATTTGTTTTTGTTGGTATCTCAGTCTTACAGAGGGTTAGTAACAGCTTAAATAGCTCAGTGATAACGTCCCTTACTGTGACATATTGACGTAAGTTTAAATTCTACACAAAATATCAATTTCATAAAGACTTGGTATACAAGCCCCAAATTCTACAAACTTCAATACAATGATCATAGACGCCTTAAGTTTACAGATAAAAAAAACGCTTAACTAAGTTTCATTGAAATTTATCCTCTAAAAAATATCTCTAACACTGTAATCTTAACCGGAACTGTGCAAAATCATCATTAAATATGCTTTTGTCAGTTGATCCCGTCAACCGTGTAAAAAGTGCATAATTATTGTATTAAACAAAGAAATTTGGAGTTTTCTTCTCCAGAGTAAGAGTGATCCTGAAAGAACTTTTTCGCTATTTAAAAAGGATTCGTTTCAAGTGTATACTAATTAGTTAACTATTTGTTTCTTGTATTTTGACAAATTAATTCCTCTGTAACTTTTAACAAAATATTGAACAGAATAGGTCTTGGTTTCGAATCTCGCAAGGCGGCATCGTGGATGTACACTGCTGAGGAGTCTCACAATAGGACGAGTTGACCTTCCAGTGTTTCCAGGTTTTCCTTGGTGGTCTAGCTTCAATTGACTCATGCTTTCAACTATGCAAATGAACAGAATATGTAAATTTTGAGAATCTAAATGGTTTACACTAAATCAACATATTATTCAAGAAAAGAGATGATGAGTTATAACATGAACTATACATTATCATTCCTCTTATCACTAATAATATATAAAGGTGTTAGGTCGGCTTACAATAAACTCTAGAGAGGCTCATGAAGAGCCCAACCAATCAGCGATTAGTTAGAAGCTATGCTACTAAAAATGCTACTAAAATAACAAGGTCCTGATTGGCTGTTAACATACTGCTACTATGGAATCTCAAGGTCTTTTAATTACTATAAAACCCCTGTTTTTCTTTACATAAATGAACCTTGTACTAAAGTGCTTCTCTGATACTCATGTCTTCTCTCTGGTCTTTCAAGTCGCTGAGTAGTGCTAGCCTGGGGTTATCCGAATAGCTAGGATCCGAATAAAGAGTTCAACCTACAAGACATATCAAAAGGAAAACAAAGTTGATTAAGATTAACACAGAAAAATTGATCAGTTAATTAACTCTTCTAACATTCTGAAGAAGTTCTGATAACACGTGGTATATTATTATAAGCTATATTCAATATTATGTTTTTGGTACAATAAAGAATTCTCAGCACAAAGTATTTCAACAGGTTTCCGTTTCTTACATCTTCGTCGATCCTGACGATAAATATTGAATGATCACGAGTTAGAAGTTAGCAGTTCAATAAATCAACACCTAAATAATGTACGTTTGTTTCTCTGCATACTGTCAGCAACCACGATATCTCTGATTAGGCCTTTTGTAACCTTTATAGCGGAAAGTTGTGCATCTTTCAGAAACGTACCTGAATAGGTTGCGTGAATAATGGCCATAATGATGTATTAAAATAGACGAAATTAGATAATTTTATATAGTTGAGATCATGAGTCATTTGAAGCTAGACCACCATGGAAAACCTGGAAGCACTGGATGGCCGTTTCGTCCTATCGTACGACTCCCCAACAATGCGCATCCACGACTGATAGGTCCTGCGTTCGAATCTTGCGAAATGGAATCGTGGATACGCACTCTTGAAGAGTCACACAACAGGACGAAACGACCGTCCAGTGCTTCCAGGTTTTCCATGGTGGTCTAGCTTCAATCGACTCGTGATCTCAGCTATATAAAATTACTAAAATCTACACAAAACCCCTTCTGAAAATTAGATAATTTGTTAAAATATCTAGATGAGAGGAACAGATAGCCTAGATGTTTAAGCAGGCCGCTAAATTAAAAGAAAGCTAGACCATAATTCATCAATATAGATTTCTTTTTTTTCTTACCTGATACTTACAGAATTTATATAAAACTTATTTTATGACTGGAATTTTTATTCTACACAATAATGTGTTTTGTTTAATATAGGGTTGTTTTACTGTATTATTACAGTTAAATATATAACATATTTATTATTGAATATCTATCGTGCATCATGTTTTATTGACATACCTAATTTTTTAAAAAAAAAATAAAATGAAAAAAATTCTCTATAATCACCAGGTGTTGAAATTCCTTTTATGAAATAAAGTGTTTTGGGTGTGGTTATAAAATTGTATGCAAACTGTATGTCCTTATTTGTAACAAAGTACATTTATGTATTTCCTTTCTATTACTTAACTAATATACTTCATGTTATCTACTGCAATGAACTGTACTATCTGTTAAGAAGAAACAAAGTATGCTGATCAGTAATTTAATTATAAGCATTAGTTATATCCTGTGTGCTGCTAATGTAGACAGATAGATATAAGTAGTGTGTATCATCAGTCGAAAGTGAAATGCCTGGAGGCAGAAGGCTGAGAAGATCGAAGAGAAGAGAGCAACAACAGAGAGTGATTGACATGGAAATGAAGGAACAATCAAGTCTGGGGCGATTCATAGACATTTAGCAAATGAAGTATATACTGTATAGTTCACAGATTTTACTGAGAGATTCTCTAGTTGTCGTATTCAGATGCATTCAACTGTCCTCACTTGTGTTCTCGTTCACTACAGTTACAAGAATTCAATCTAATGACTTAGAAAATTAAATACATTTAATTATTTATTATTCATTGTCAATCACTACCAATCCAATACCTTTAAATTTATCTACTGACCGATTAATTAAAACAAACATCGTATATTTTAATGTCGTTTTCATCAATGAATCTTTCTTTACAAAAAATGTTTAAATTAACTTACTAATGACCAAATATTTGGGTATTAACTACACTCCAACTATGAAGGGTAATAATAATACCCAGTTGAACATTGTTTGAAAAAGGGAATTAGTGGATGAAAGTCGACTGCCTTAACCACCAAGTCACCTCTCTCCTTTTGTAAGCATTTTATTCGTCTACGCTTTGTATTACATTTTGAATCAACCCACGTTACTTTCCAATAGTTATTTTAAAAAGAAATAATAGAATGACCAATTTCTTTTATGGTCATAGGTGTTAAGACAAGTGATATTTAGATATGATGTGTTTTGTACATGCATTATTTTGGAAATGTAACTATATAGCATAATAAATCCAACCAGTAATTATGACGATAGGAAACCAGTAGTGTGTTGAACGAAGATTTAAACGGTTCCTGTGAAAAATATGAAAATTATGCATTAAATACATCATTTGTATATCTTCCTTGATTTGTCTTCCAAATACTCCACAATTTTTTTCAATGTTGTTATTATTCCGCATGTTCTCTATTTTCCTTCCTCTTCTCTCAATTTTAGTCTATCGCTCGTAAGCATTGCTATTCTGCTACATACTACTTATATCTGTCCACACAAGTAGCTCATATCACAATAGTGCAATCAATGGTGAAATAAGTGACAAAATAACAGAAAACAATTAAATTGCCCATCGTAAAGCTTGAGTAGTTTATTAGAAGAGGTAGTTTACTAGACCATGTATCGCTATCAAACTTTCATCAAATAACACGGAAATTAGTATACTAAAAAGTTACAATGTATAATCAATAGCTATAAATTATGAATCGTTTATGCCAACAGTCTATTTATCATCATTTCTGAAAAGACTAATATAAAATTTTTATTTTATGCTAAATCGAAAATAGTGTTATCACTACTTCATAACTAAACTCAATGCTTTATTATAAGCACAGATGGATGATGACTAGCAGTGGAATCCAGGACGCGTGTTTTGTCCTATTTGAGACTCGTCAGTTGGATTGAATTTTTACTGTCGCAGATATTACATTACCAATTAAACCATAGTAATAATAATTATACTAATAATCATATAAACTATGAAAGACAATAAAACATAGAAATTTTGATTATATTGTGATGAGTGAGGATTAAATAAATACTGCCTTCCATTTTGGAAAATCTTGAAACATTTCTTTCCAAAATATGATCTACATATCACATGACTATGCTGTTAACAAGAATTAAGCATTATCTTATGTAATATATTATATTGCATGTATAGAAAAAGTATTTAAATATCCTTAATTAAGAAACATTTCTAGTTCTTATGACTACAATTTACACATAATTTTAAAAAACACGGGAAATGAAGCATAATAATCTAATCATATTAAATGTAATATGTAAATATATACAAGTGAAGCTCCAAAGTATTTTCTCACAGTTAGTTCCTTATGATAACTCTGTACTAATGTATAAAAGTATTGCCTTCCATAATATATGAAGTCCAATATCATGTTTATTTGTGTACTTTAACTGAAAGGTAAATATTCCTAACTTCGGTCAATTCACAAATAAAGCGTGATGATCATAAAATCTCATGTGTAAATATCTGGTTTATTCTGAATATATACAAAATCTACTAGTCGTTAGTTTTTGATAGGAACTAAAAAAAATCCATCTGGAAATTACTTATTAAATATATGTTACGGATGCCTAGATACGGCCAAACTCGAAGCGTTATGTTTGGCGATGTAGGAATAGGTTGGAAGAAAGCTAGAGATGACCAAACAGAGAAGTGGGATTATTCTATGAAATCATTATCTGTTGGTTTGGGCCTTGTTATTAGATGCAGACAACATGGTTGGCATCCGCTCAATTATCTCAGTCAACAGAGATGTTGAATGACATAACTTGAAATCGGTTGCGTTGGACCAGATACATTCGCTCTTTATCTTGAAATGTATGTAAGTTTTACTCCGCAAATTCATTCTTTCTTTTCAAATCATATTGTCTATCCTTAGTCTTGTCTACTACTATTGATACTTTTACTGCTTCCACTATTCTGTTATTTGACACGATAATTTCATCTCACTGTGTTGATGTAGTATACCAACTTGGACCGATATATAAATATCCTCCGAACTAAATTGTTTATGATTCATTAATTCTGCAAAATATTCACTTTGTTTCTAAATGACAAGTAGTCTCAGCAGTTATTCGATGCTCAAATTACGTAAACGATTCTCAGGCTTACTGATTTGATTTAAAGGACACTGATTACATCTTGTTTTGACTTAATTATAATTCTTTAAACAATCAGTTATAATTTTTGAAGTTTGATTTACTTTCACTAAGATATAAACGTATTAAGTTCCATACCATTCTAGGTAGGCATTACACATTCATATTAGAATTATAGAATAAAGTATAACATACGTTAATTTCAGTCTGTTTGTCGTTAGCTGTGTGAATGATAGTACATCACAGTTTTTACAAATTTCACCTCTAAATAAATCGAAGACTGTAGATATCAAGCTCAATTTCTTTGTAAGGATGTAATTGCACCTCTATGATATTTAAACGAGAAATCTAGTTGATAAAGTATATTGGGTCAGTAGATTCGAATTCAAAAGGATATTTTCTAAAATAATATTTTTATTCTGAGTTTTATTTTCTTTATTTCAGAATCACAACTGTCTAAAACAGCTAATAAACTCAAATAGTCCACAGCCATTCGACAGTAGCCAAATCATGTCTCCTGAAGATACTCAATTTAGCGTATCAATGCCAACACACTCATCAAACATATCCGATTTTCCAGACAGTAAACTATTTCACAATCATACAACTGATCATACAGATCTACCGGTTACAACAGATGGATCTTTTGAAGCATTTAAAATATTGAACAATCCTTTAGATAATAATTACACTCCAACTGAAGATCATATGCAATATCGTTCATTACATGATACAATACAAGATGGGAAATTTCCATATACAAAAATGAATTCACAAACAATCCCTGATAATGCATCTAATAATCGTATTCAACCTACAAATATTGAGAAGAATTACAATCAAGTCAATAGTACAATGAGTAAAAAACAAACATTAACGAATTTTGATGAATTTCCACCAACTCCTGGTGGTTCATTTAGTCAACGTGGAAAAATAAGTGGTGCCAAACTTTCTTTTCATCATATTTCCTACGAAGTAAAAATTCAAAAGACACTATGTAGTAAACCAGTGATAAAGACAATACTTGATGATGTAAGGTGAGATAAAAAGAGTCAGTAAGACAAAATTTTACAGTTTACCGCTGATATATTATTTTTCTTACAGTTTCCCATAGTGTATTATGGTTTATTATAGTCTAAAGCTGTTTTTAAACAAAAGTTGGATAGTAGAGATGGTTGGTGGCTAGCAGTGGGATCTGGGATGCGCATTTTGTCTTATTTGCAACTCGTCAGCTGGATGTACTTGCATTCCAGATTTGATGTTCACTCCGGATAGTAGATTTATGATTTAAAACATATGAAGTTATGCTCGTAAAAAATACTGATTTGATATGTGGTTCAACTTTATCATTAAGAATGAATAGGTTTAGTATTTCATTTTCATATACTTAAATTAAAATTGATACAATTTTATAATCATGCCCATATTGGATAAAAAGAGGCTAGTACACAAATGACTAACCACTAGTGTTATTTAGAGTGTGCTCTTATCTGTTAACAATTCTGTGTGACAATTATATGAAATGTGGACTGTTGACTTCAAGTAGTCATCTGAATTAAAAACAACAATGTGATCCTCAGACCAATTATTTGAAACTTGTGTTATAATGAGACGAATATCTAAAAGGTCAGCATTTTCGGGATTATTTTTCGGATTATTGCTATCCATATTTTTATTGTATAAACAGTAGATAACTGTGTGACTGCTTTCGGAGAACCTATTAACCGTTGCTGTATGTTTCACTTTCCCTTATTTGTTGTTAAATAATAATGAACTGTTTCCTCCACTCTCTATCACCTAGTGTGTCATTATGTTTAAATTATGATTCTTTATTTTTTATTATGTGATCAGTGATTTATAGTACATTAGTGTATGAGCTTTGAGTTATGAGTGGGAATAAGTATGGTTCCTGTCTGCGTTGTCAGATTGATTAGTAGGAAAAAGGTGCTTGAGGGTCAGTGAGAGTTAAAATCCCGGTTGTTGTTTATTGATCATTATGTGAGTTGAAAAACAGATCGGCGATCCTACTGGGATATAGGTAAATCAATTGATAATGGGAGTCCTGATTGAGCGGTATAATGCATAATATCGATCATCATCCTCAAGTCACAACAAATTGGTGATAACAAGAAATAAAGATATGCAATCTAAAAGCTTCAGTCAAAAGCCACATGTTATATGAATCCAGCAGTTGTCGATGGTGAATTCCATATTAGCTGAGCATAAAACAAATCTACTGATCTCACTGTCATTCGCTTGTTTTTCAAGTTACACTAATTGAAAAAAACCAAATTTCTGATATACCGTACAATTTTTAACTGGTTTGATTGTTTTTCACAAATTTTCATGTCATTACTCACTTAATTGAATATATAACTTAGAGGACAAAATAGAATTTGAGGAAAGTCGGGTAAAATTGAAGTAAAGTTGTGACAATATGTCCCATCGATTATATCTAGCACTACTCTGATAACGAATTCAGTCATAGGTAATGTTCTGGCGTAAACCATGACACATAATATGATAGTAACAAACGTTTATAACGGAACGGGTATTGTAGAAGCAGGAACTGGTTTTCTGAATTATTATTAACCATAATTTTGTTGTACAACCATCAAATATTTAGATTACTATGTCTATATATTTTGCTTATCATAAGCCTTCAGTTAACTAATGAACTATTATCATACGATTGACTACGTATGGCCAGTCTGTTGCTCACAGTCTCTCCTATTCGTAGACACTTTTACCATGTTTGTGCACAATTGTCATATTTCATCTTATGTTATGGTCCGGCCCAGTTTGTCTGTATGTAAATTACATCTGTTTAAGATATTAACATAATAGAGGTTGGTTTTTACTTATGGACTCAAGTTAGGTTATAGAGAGTAGCTTGTCAATAATAGAATAAGAGGTGCTTAGCCTTTGGGTCAAGGCCAGTAGTGCTGCTTGGGCGTATAATTATTCAAGTCAAAGACACTAAGGTATAAAGTAAATGACAGAAACAATTAAGGTTAGAATTCTAATCGATTACTTGGCACGTGATATTGGTCAGTGGGCCTTGAAAAAAACACAAAAGTAGTTGTATCTTTTGTTTCATTTTATTTTTTGTTTCAAAGCCAATTGGAAGCGATTAGAATCTTCTAAAATAAACTTTATTGGATTCAGTAAATTTATACAATACTCAAATAATACTTTCGAAAGTTTGATCCTCTTTTAGCGAACACAAACACCAATATTGTTTCGAATCTTGAAATAGCACACATGTTAAAAACTATAATATAACACAACATTTTTACCTTAAAAAAGTGGTCCTTTTTACTGATGAAGATAGTTTCAGTTGGTTTATGAAAAAAAGCACCATTGGTATCATGTAGTAAACTATATATTTAATACCGATAACTTTACCATAGTATAAATAGGGAATGGTGAGCTATTAACTAGTCATCACAAAAATCTGTATTCCTTTATATTATCTCTTGCAAGTACTTCCGTTTCCAGCGTATTTCTATTGAAGATAACTGCATACACTTAATGCCACTGCCAAGGAGTATTTATAAGGTACAGCTTATTTTTAGGTGGTAAACATCAAAATACCGTTCTGTAGGTACTTCTAATACAAAGTTTATTTGGTTCTAACGTACAAACTAGTGCTTTATAATGGTCTAATATATCTAAGAAATTATTCAAACATACTTAAAGGAAATCTAAGAAACTATTTCAGTTCTGATAGATTCATCTCTTTCGTAAAGTTTCATGTGTTTCATTTGCCAACTACTGATATGGTTTATTTGTTGCACTAGTATAATACATATTATATTTAATCAATATTTGACTTTACAACTTGGTCAATACTACTACTTTCCAATAGATAGTTAGTAGATTGATGGAAGTAGAGAATTTCGGGAAAAAGTATGGAGTACAAACAGATAGACATTAAGTATAGCAAATAATACCACAATCTATTTTCATTGTTAAAATTAAGGACAATAATTTAAGACAATGAACTTGTGAGTTAGGGATATGTAACCAAATAAAATAATAAAATATAATGTAAATAAGCTTATACTAATATATGGATTAAGGAAAATATTAAGTTAAGAATAAGTTTATATGGCAGTTATAAATAATAATAAGGCTACAAAAAAGTTACCCAAACGACAAGATTGATGTTAAATTACTAGGGAAGAAAGAATTATTAATCATAAATAGAGCAAGAACAAATATTTGAGCAGAATAGAAAGAACTCATTTTATTTCGTTTGGTTCTCATCAGTTGTTTACAATCTGTGTTATCTAAAAATCATAACTACAAAATGAGTTTAAATTATTTGTTTTCCACAAAATCCCTTCTGATTATAATCATATGCTCACTAGTGACTGACTTCAAGATATATGTCCTGAAGTTCTAGTGAGAAGTAGTGACCAGTGGAGTTCTACCCAGTCTGTTATGAGATAACAACTCACTGAAGACAATTGGTGAACGGTTGCCCAAACTTCGTGGATTGGTTGAAGTTAGACATTGACACCGTTGGATGCCGGCTCAGTAGTCTAGTGGTTAAGTGCTCCGGCGCAAGACTGGTAGGTCCTGGGTTCGAATCTCGTGAGGCGGGATCGTGGATGCGCACTGCCGAGGAGTACCACGATAGGACGAAACGACCGTCCAGTACTTCCGGGTTTTCCATCGTGGTCTAGCTTCAATTGACTCATGATTTCAACTATTTAAATTATTAACATTACAGATTTTAGTTAAAGGTTATTTTGAAGGTGTATCAATAATAGCATATCGAGGGTGTAAATAGGTATAATAGACTCAATAAAATATTGTAAATAAATACCTTATGTAAAAGAACATTCTACAACGCTGATAGTAACAAAGGTATAAAGAAATAGAATCAAGTGGTTACATAATGCGTATACGCTGATAATAAGTAAGAATAAATTGAGTAAAGCTCAGTCAATCAAAATAAGATTACTAATCTAGAAGACAGTTGAAATGAGGGAACTCAACGATGTAATTAACTAAAAGAAAGAATTGAACAAAATTTTGTGATGTAATGAAGGAATATTTGTCACTAAGTCAAAGAAGATTTAACAACTATTTATTTTTTAACATATAAATCAGGTTTTTGATGCCTGATAGCAAAAGCTTCAATAAACTTCAGTAGACTGGAATTTGACCATTTTATAATCGCCTTGATGGGTTGCAAGATATTGACCTGATGTCCCGTATCCATGAGATGTTTAGTAATTGTGCTGTTCACTTAATACTGTGGTTTTCTTTTCCAATTGATGTTTATCACTTTCTGAATTGAAATCTTTTATTAGGTAAGTTCAGTGAGGTGGCCGAGTGGTCTATATGAACTCCTACACAACCGCTGCCACATGCGTCCAAGAAGTGGTGATAGTTCATGAAGTCATTGTTAAACTTGATAGGTTTAAGAGATGTAGACTTCTTATTGAAGACAGGCACAATAATTGTAATCTATGTTTCAAAATTTTAGGTTTTGTTACTTTACACCGTTCTCAATGTCAATAATGTTTTTATTCATTATTTAACGTTAAATCTCAACGTTCAGTGACATTTCATATTTCCATCTTTTAAATCTGTTCGTTTCTTTCGAAACATATATTCTGTTGGATTTCGACCACCATTGGTATTATCATTTCGACTACCTTTATTTTCATCTTTTTGAATATGAAGTGTAGCAAACTGTGCAGATTCATTAATATGTCAGTCGTACATTGATTATGATTAACTGGCTTCCAGGTTGTCAGACGGTTGATGATGAACACTGGAAATTTTATTTATTTATCGGCATCAGAACCTTTGCCTGAGCGAAAGTTGTCTAGTATTTCATATCAATGTTAGTTTCCCATAACAATAGAATATTTCTTAGTATATATGGGCTTTTTCTGGTCTTGTTTTCTTTTAGTGGAATTCTTAGGCCCGGAATGAATGCCCTTATGGGACCAACTGGAAGTGGAAAATCTTCGTAAGTTTACAGAAAAGCTAATGAGATCTCATAAGTTTCCTGTTTGTTTTACTCAATGGTTATTTAATGAGAAACAGGTATTTAGTTAATATTGTTTTATACTTTTATAATGGTTGTCTTTCGTAACACTGTCTGACTAATAATTAAACCACATGAATAGAAGTAACCAAGAGCTAAAAATACCCTTGAAAAAATGCATTATCTAGTGTAAAACCGGTTCTACCAAACATAACACTATGTTCAGTAACACAAACAAAAGTAGATAAATATCCGTCATATGTTCCCTTCAACTGCTTATATCAAGTTAAATGAAAATAAAAAAGAGCGTAAATTCGAAGAAATGAGGATCCTCTCTTTTTACTGAACATAATCCGAAGAATGTACATTTTTGAGGACAAAACATACTTCGTATGTTGATAGCTTTTTATTTAGCAGACGCCGGAGATAACGTTGACGCAGTGAAGTCATTCATAATAATCAATGAACAGTCTAATTCTATCTTATTAAGATTTGTAGAAGCTATAACATTTGGAAGGCTGAGGCCTGATCTTTATGCTTAAAAAGTGTCAGTGATTAACTTTTAACTGACTTGATAACAGAAGTACATTAGACATTTTCATTCCTCCTTTTTATTTTACCAAGTGTAATCATAATCTAGTGTTATTTCTGGACAAATTTCGTTACATTACGTAATAATATTGTCGTATATATTCCAGAACAGTTACCATAGGTAATTATAAGGAATCTATTGGGAAAACTTAATTGCAAACTTCAATATTACAAATAAATTATTCGTTATTGAGAACTAATTCTTCGAATTGAACATTATGTTCATAGTACAATGTGAAGACGAAGATTATCAGAAGTATGTGATATATAAGCGCATTACATTTAGAACAATCTGATCATACATATACTTGTTAAGAACATTTATACATAAAAATAAAAGGTCAGCTAGACTCAAAAATGGGAGGTTAGAGGAGATAAAAATAATAGAGAAAATAATATGAGAAGCATCACGCTGGATAATAGACTAATAATACTAGGGAACGTTTAAGGTGAGAATAAAACGTTTTCAAATACATAAGGGCTTCAGTAAACCTTAGTATACGCTCTTTTACACTTTTGTACAACACTACAAAAGCCGTGTTAAGATCAGTAAAAAGAGTAGAGGTTCAACGTTCTATTCTTCGAATGTACGTTCTTTTTCATTTTAATTTAACTTGGTGTAGGTAGTTGAAGGGAAAACATGATGGATATTTATCTAAAGATATTCATTCCAAAGCCAGTTACTTATTAAAGATGTATTACTATCCACTTTGATAACTTTATGAACTACATGTTAAATTCAGAAATGTGAACTAATTTGATACTAATGCTAAATTCATTACATTCGCATTTTCATTGTATGTTTAATTATCACTAGAGTCAATTAGAATTCAATCAACAACTACACATTATCTATTTGTCATCAATTTCCATCATTCTAATTTTCTGATATTCATTTTTTATCTTTTCCCCTGTGATGATTGTGTTAAAAACACTTATTTATATTGTAACAGTACTTTCCAATTTTCACACGCATACCCATTGTTCTGGTGAGAGAAATAAAAAATCGTATCCTAATTTTGTCCGCAACATTGTCAAGAGCTTGTAGTATCTGGTATTATGTCATGGCCGTTCTCAATTTTGACATTGCACCTAGAAACCAACCAAAATGAAGCCGGAATTACTATTTACACTGTCGTAACCCATTACAGAAGGCATGTTTTGTTTTCTGTTGTGTTTGATGGCTTAGATGAAAAGTTTTTTTCGACGGAAATACACTCCGTCATGCTACGGACGTCTCAAGTGTAGAGCAGTCAGTAAGGATGGAAGGAAAATTACAGCATAGCAAAATTCACGCCTTCATATATTAATGTAAGAGAAATTGTTCTAAAATGCCTACAATGGAGTGATTAAATAAACGAAAACATAACCTTAATTACTGACTATGATACACTTAAATGACTTGACAACGTGGATTTTTTCCCCAGGCCGTCAGACCAATCTATTTATTCTTCTCAAGTCACATTTTGACCTTGTCAATTATTCTCTTAATAACCTCGGTTGTTTTTAAACAAGCGTTTACATGTATCGCTTACCCTGTTCATCACATGACTCAGTAGCTAAGTGGATAACGTGATGGCGTTACTACTAGGTTCGAGTCACAGAGTAACATGAATTCTGAGATGCAGGTACATCCCCTATCCATCTTTGCTTACCATGCGTGTGAAATAAAGCTATATCGAGGCAATACGCACAGTATGCACATATGCCAATAAGAGACTGATCAGTTGTAGTGCTAAATAACTATGGGAAGTAATAATGTGTCTTTAACTTATTTTGTCTAGTTATTGTTATAACGTATGAGTGCCCAATTTAATATATGAACGCCAATTTAGAGAGGAGTGGATTTTACTGATCGGACGCAAATGATACTTGAAATCGTACAAGCAGTCTTGAGTGCTATTCGGTCCTTCCTATCTGTCTAGCCCAACCAGTTGAGTGCAGAACACAAATAACAGCCTCGGCAATATGAATCATTATTTACAAACACACTGGGTTTTTATATAAACCAAAGTAATCAATAAACTGATTATAACTCAAGAATCGTATGATAATAAGTCAAGGTCAAAACAAAGCTTATGATAAGAGAAATACGAATATAAATAGTTCAGTTACGTAATAATTGTACAATAGGAAATAGGCATATTACATTGATCCATAAATAGACCTAAAAGTTACCATTCGTAATTCACCGTAGGATATAACATCTCCCCTTTTTGAGAAATCCGGATTTTAAATTTCTCGAATTCCAGCTATAAATTTTGAGTTACACGTTATCAAAAGGTGTTGGCATGTTTGTCCTCTCCGATCCGTTTCTATTATTGTTTGTCTGTCCTAACGAGTGAATGAAATATTCGTATCCGAAATGTATCCTTGTATTTAACTTATTTTATTCGATTATTCTCTCACGAGAAATAAATCGATAATTATATAGGACGGTAGACAGCATGCATATTTCGTTAAAGTCATCATATGATCAAATCGGAGTCAGATCAACGTGCCACCAATAACTGCACATTTTTGTTAAATATTCTTCAGTAGACATTTATTCAACTTACAGTCTAAATTCAACGATACTTTATCAATAATTCTCTTCGTATATTGAGGTATCTAAATTGTTTACTATCCTCAAACACACTCAAGGGCTCTTTACATCATGGTTGTTGAAAGATAATAACAAAAGCAACAAATTAAACAAAATGACTGTCAAGACTGGAATGAAGCCAAAAATGAAAGTTTAGTACGTAGTTAGTCAAGTCACATAACATCTGCTGTCTGGGGTTTATTACTAACAGATAATCATTGTCTTGATTATGATTCTGTATCAAAATTCCAGCCTAACCGAACATGCATCAACTCAGGAATTGACCGAATTTGCAAAGCTTTACGTTCATGTAGTTGCATAATAATTAAGAATTAGAGATTAAATGTTCAAGAGAATAGTTTTCGAAATTCGTCTTCCATAGAAAAAAGAATAATTTTCATATCCATACTTCGTGCAGATAAAACATAAATGTGGAACTAGTCTCTGAAATGATAAAGTTTTAGATGTGTTTTGTAAAGTCGAATGTTAAATTCAAGTAACCAGTTTAAATAACATTAACTGCATTACGTAACGAACTGATTGATTTATCAAAAAGATTTGGAAGAACTAATTGTAAATTTATAACTCGATGTGTCTCTGTTCTGTATTGGATATTTCAGTTTGATTTCATTATTCGAAAGATGTTAGGTGGTGTGAACACTCGAAAGAATACGCTATTGATTGATTGTAAACACAGTTTTGGCAATGATACATTCCTTAGGACCCTAAACTAATTTTGACATATTTTACGTTTAAATTAATAAATTACTAACCAATCGAAGGAAAAGTTTTCTCACCTTCTTACAGCTTCAATTAATTTTTCTTAAATATTTCTTTGTAATAACTTATATTATTTGTTGAATTATTTAAGGCTTTTAGATGTGTTAGCTGGTCGTAAAGATCCAAAATTTCTTTCTGGAAAAGTTTTAATTGACGGTAGACCTCAGCCGAAAAACTTCAAGTGTATTTCCGGTTATGTTGTTCAGGTAAATAATTTATACAACTGTGTACTTCAAAGAACCACTTATTTATCATACCTTTTTTCAACTAATGTAGTTGCTTAGAGATTACATGATATTTTACAACTATTGTATATTGTTATACTAAGACTTTAAACAACCAAGAAAACTAATGGCAATTCATATGATGAGTTTGTCTCTTATGGAATGTGCATGAGAGAAAAGGATTTTTGTAACGGTCACAACTGTTTAACAGGAACTTCAGTTCACGATACTCAGTATATGGATATTCATCAACAAATTTTATGTACAACATTGTAAACTTAAAAACACCTTTAATATGATCATTTTATTGTAACAGAAATAACTATGTATTCTTGAAGCATGGGGTAATCAACAAAGTTCAGTTAATAGCTATGTATTATTAACCTGACCATTAAAACATAAGGATACAACTGAGAAGATGGCTTGTTGGCATCTCGCTCTAGTCCATAACGTCATACGAATTATATAGATATTTTCTATTTCTGTTTATACTGAATGCTTTTTATTTAACAGTTATACTTGATTTTGTACAATTTGTAGGATGATATTGTAATGGGAACCCTAACAGTAAGGGAGAATTTAAGTTTTTCGGCAGCCCTACGAATGACTATGCATTATACAACAGAAGAACGAAATCAAAAAGTCAACGATATCATTGATGAGTTGGGTTTAAATGCTGTAGCGGATAGTAAGGTAAAGAAATATTTGTATGATTACTTTAAAATGTGCATGTATCTGTAGAAATAGATGTGAAAATGAAAATATGCTTATAAAATTACCTTCATTGTGAACTAGCCAGCAAACAAACTCACTATTTATAGTAATATATTACAGCATATGTAGAAAAACGAAAGTTCAGAAGCAATGGATAATGTATTCTAAATAGACTCAAATACGTTTCCTCATTAGTATGCATCTAAAGATTGTCTGCTATGACCAAACTGATCAGGTCTGATTTCCATCGGGCTTGGCTGAGTTAAGAGGTGACTCTTTGGCTCATTTATGGGCTGTGAATGTTATTAACTGGCTGTAGTGAAGTTGTGGAGTGTGTCAGAGATGTCGGTTACGCATACGCGCCTAGACCTTCGGGTATTGTTAAATCTGATCGGTTTGTTACTAGCTTCGGCTGGTCGGCTGATGGCTTGATTTTTTCATTTCGGCGGTTGTGTGTGTAATTCGCATTGGGCCAACAGTCTGTGGTGTGGTGGTAGACGATCCCTCTGACCCTGCTTAAAACACGGACCAAGGAGTTTATCATGTGCGCGAGTCATAGGGTGTTACGAAAACCAAAGGCAAACTGAACGTAAAGTTCGGTTTTTCTAAAATGAGGTGAGATCATGTTGTCTTGCTCATACTTTCCAAGTTGCGAGCAGCGGGCGCATCACCGGCTCGTCCCATGATGTAGACACGTGACCTCGTGTTATGTGCTCAGTCAAAGAGGATCAAGAGCGTACACGTTGAAACCTGAAAGATGGTGAACTATGCATGTGAAGGTTGAAGCCAGAGGAAACTCTGGTGGAGGACGGTAGCGGTTCCGACGTGCGAATCGATCATGACGTGAGTGTAGGGGCAAAGGACTAATAGAACCATCTAGTAGCTGGTTCCCGCGAAATTTTCTTTTAGGATAACTAGGATTATGAAAAATAAACGGTTTTACCCGGTAAAGCGAATGATTAGAGACATTTAGGAGAAATCATCATCAACCTATTCTCGAAATTCAAACGTGTGAGAAGCCTAACTCTCCTAATCGGAATTTTGCATTGAATTCAATTGCCAAGTGGGTCATGTTTGGTAAGCAGAACTGATGCTGTAGGATAAACCAAACCTTTGGTTAAGGTGCCTAACGCGACACTCATGAGATATCAAGAAACGTTTAGGTTGACCTAGGCAGCAGGGCGGTGGCCATGAAAGCCGGGAGCCACTAAGGAGTGTGTAACGACTCGCCTGCCGAATCAACCATCCTTGATAATAGATGGCGCTCGAGCGTTGGACCTACACTAGACCTTTACTATAAGTTAGGCCTATGGTGTGTGAAGGTATGCTGCATTTGGTTCAAACATGGAGTGACGGCAACGAGTAGGAGGGTCGCTGTGGCTAGCAGGAAGCCTCAGGCGTGAGCCTAGGGGGAGCAACCACAGGAGCAAATCTTAATGGTAGTAGCAAATATTCAAGTGAGAACTTAACATAAGAAGCTAACCTTAGTCAGAAAATCATTGAAAACCAGGAAGCACTAAAAGGCTGTTTCGTTTTAAAATGAGACTCCTCAGTAATATACATTCATGGTCACTACGGAGCTGAAACATGGAGAACTACTGCATCTATCGTCAAGAAAGTACAAGTATTTATAAACATTTGTCTACGCAAAATACTCAACAATCACCGGCCGGATACTATCAGCAACAACCTACTGTGAGAGTAAAGACCAGCTTCCAGCTGAAGAGGAAATTAGAGAAAGACGTTGGAAGTGGATAGGACATACATTGAGGAAATCACCAAACTGCATCACGAGGTAATTCCTAACTGGGAATCCGGAAGGTTAGCGGAAAAGTGGAAGGTCAAAGACTACATTACTCCGGGAAATAGAAGCAGATATGAAAAGTATGAATAACAACGGGAAAGAACTGGAAAGGATCGCCCAGGACAGGGTTGGATGGAGAATACTGGTGAATGGCCTATACTCCTCAACGAGGGGTAACAGGCGTAAGTAAGTAAGTAAATAATAGTCCCTACGAAGATCAAACTCAAAACCTCTAAGTCTAGCAGTGAACGTTCAACGTTTAGACCAGTGAGCCAGTATCCAATAATTTATAGGTTTAATTTTATTTTCATATCAGATGACACATGACCAACTTTTGTGGTCCGTAAATATCAATTTCCATAATCAAAATAACTATTAATGTATACGCTTTTAAAATGACTACTAAAGAATTTACAAGCAAATGGAATCATTTCTACTCTAATCTACATAAGGACGTTTCCAACTAAATGAACATACATATATATTTTGTTTTCCAAATAATCGTTATTATCTGTCCTTTCTAAACGTCAACATAAGAACATTTTGATTTTATTCAAATTCATTTCATAATTAGTTTTTAAAATATCGATCTAGATATTAAATTTCAATAAACTAAATCATTTCTACCAAACCAGGCAACTCGAAATAGATAATTTGGAGATAATAACAAATAAATAAACAAATAAAAAACCGTTAGAATAATAGAAAATGAAATAACATTAGGATCACGTCGATTTTCATTCATGTTTTTCATTATAATTTTGAATTCAACATATTCTACATGCGAATTCATATATGTTACCGTTTTGTAATCATGAAAAAAACAAACAAACAAAAAAACAAGCAAAGATGGATAGTGGCTAGCAGTGAAATCTAGGACGCCCGTTTCGTCCTATTCTGAACTCGTCAGCTGCATGTACCTGCATCGCGTTATCCACTCAGCTACTGAGTCTTGATAGCCACTTGCTTGTGCAATGGGGTGAATTAAAAAAAAAAACAGTAATTTGATTCTAGTTAAGTTTTCACCTTTTTTTGTTGATTACCCAAGTAAAAATCAATCTCAAGAGTTAGGCTTAATTTCATTGTTGAATGAATAAATGAATTAGAAAATGTCTTCTTCTCACGTTTTTTATGATTAATATCTTTTAGATATATATTTAAGTAATATAAAAACAATGATGTTAATACAATAAGCTGAACTGATTTATCCCACTGGTAGTTTTCAGCTACCTATAACCTAAAAAATAAAATAAAAATAATAAATTAGTCATAAACATCAATGGGAAGATTAAAACAAACAATACCAAGTGAATTTAAACTTCATCCCTTTGCACAAGCAAGTGGCTATTACGACTTAGTAGCTGAGTGGATAACCTGGAAGCATTTGAAGTGAAAGGTACTGGGTTCGAGTCCCAGAGTGAACATCAACTCTGAGATGCAGGTACATCCAACTGATGAGTCCCAACTAGGACGAAACGCTTGTCATGGATTCCACTCCTAACCACTATCCATCTTTGCTCATAATGCTTGTGAATTGAGGCTATATCGAGGCAATATGCATAGTATGCACATATGCCAGTAAGAGACTGATCAATTGTATTCTTAAACATCAATGGGAAGATTCAAACCAACAATACCAAGTAAATTTAATAGTATTAAATATTTAAAAATACTCTATAATATGATATCAGAAAAAGCTATCATCAGTGAAAAAACAATACCTTGTTGAAAAAAATTGAAAGTAGACAAATACTGACCTTACGCAACTTCCAATTGTATTTAACGGTTAACTTGTACGTACAGAAGAGAATTTATAGAAGTATTAGAAAGAAGAGCTGATGTTTACATTTATAAGCATGTCCTACAAGAAATTAGACTAGGAGATAAACACATTTCCTACAGTGAGATTCTTTACTATCTTTTTGATAATGCATTTGACGTTAATACTCAAAATCATCAAAATTTTCAATAACCAGACGACTTCAAACCTACTGCCATTTGCCAAAATAATCAGTATTATGTATGAATATGTATGAATTCACAAGAACACTGTTGTTAGTCTGGTGACCTCAATATCTAAGTCTATTACAGATTATATTACATTTACTGTAATAAACATAATTTTTCATCTTTTCTAGCTTTTAAGTGAACTTCAGACATCTCGATCTCCTGAGTAATCTTTTTGTTATTATTTAGTATTTGATAACATCGTTGTTCTTACTTTTCTTATACTTACAAATGAGAAAAATTGTATGAAATATTAATCGATCACTGAGCAGTGACCATTGTTGTATGTCAAGCTTCTCTTAATGCTGACCTAATTCTATCGACTAAGTTGAAATGTGACCGCTGGTCTTAGTAATTCGACATGGCGCGCACTTTGTTAAGATGTAAAATGATTATTGTAGGTAGTAGACATAAAACCTTGGACTTGATTTTCGTGCTAGTTGACACTTTAATAATCTCGCGGGAACTGATGTCTACTGCTTGATAGGATCTCGCATTAAGCAGCTTCACAGTCAGAGACATTACTACTGAGCTAATCAGTGTCCAATAGTACGAAACCTAGATCCAGAGTTTCCTGTCTACTACCTTTGGCCACCACTTATATATGGTAAATAAATATGACACTTTCACAGTTGGAAACCTCTGCTGTCTGGTTGCAATATCATTTTAATAGCTTTCATCAATATATAGGTCTTTAATGATATCATCACTCAGTCACATTGTGTCATTACGTGTCATTTATTAGCATTTTCATTATTATATTGAGTCAAGAAATACTCATCTTCAAGATCCTAAAAGAGTTACTTGATATGTAAGCCATTGTTAAACAACGATTTCTGTAGACCAACTACCGATTCATGAAATTAAAATCAAAGTATTAAACTCAATTCATGCTCACCTTATCAGTTTTCCGATAAAGAACTAATGTGCAATATCTTGTAGAAGATTGACAATCTGTTTGTGGTATAACAAAATGTCTTATCAAATGAAGTTAACAAATTAATAGTCATATCTGTGTGTTTCATAAAAAGGTTAAGTTTGTGTAAATTCATGAGATTCATTTAATGGATTGTCTATCATCATCGTAATTCATATAGTTTATGGGCATTTATCGTATTAAAAATACCTTTATAGGGTATAAAATGTACAGACTTTATTAATTTCTATGTTGTAGTGAAGCTATTGCTTTTTAAAGTATCTATATACATAAAATTAAATGTTGAAAATGTATATTTTTACTTTGAAATCTCCTTAGATTACTCATTTCTTATAAACTTATCAATTTATCACTTTCTTTTAATTGTTCATCTTTCTATTGTTTTTTCTGTTTAGGTTGGGACTGAATTAGTTCGTGGAGTATCAGGTGGTGAACGTAAAAGAACTAGTATTGGTATGGAACTTATTACGGAGCCGCCAGTGTTATTTTTAGATGAACCAACTACTGGTTTAGATGCATATATGGCAGGCCAAGTCGTAAAAACACTTAAAGCGTAAGGAAAAGAATAATTTACCCGATTATAATTTTATTTAAAAATAAACAATACTTTATGGAACTTTTCAAATGGATCTAGTTAAGGTTATTCATGTTTCAGTCTAAATATAATTATTATAATGTTCAGGAAAATGCCATAGTGTAGTGAGCGAGAACACACGCCGAGACAATTAAATCCATTTGAATACGATGATTAAAGAATCTCTTAGTAAAATCTGACAACCATAAAGTAAATAGATTCACTTAGTATTGTTTGTTTGAATCTTCCCATTGGCGTTTAGAACTGCAATTGATCAGTCTCTTATTAGTATATGCGCGTACTGTGCGTATTACATCGATATAGCCTCAGATCACAAGCATTACAAGCAAAGATGGATAGTGGTTAGGAGTGGAATCCAGGACAAGCGTTTCGTCCTATTTTGGACTCATCAGCTGGAATAATTAATTTGCAAAATGTCAATCAATTGTCTCATATTTCATTGCTTCTTCATTACCACACCAATCATTCCCTGTTCTCGTTTTCTTTTCTTCCATCTTGTTAAACTCCTGCCTTCAGGCATTCGGTTGACGATACATACTACTTATATCTATCGATATCAGTAGCACACACCACAATTGGACTAAAATTCATGTATGTTATTTTACAATCAATTAGATATCCAGATCATTTAGCTTTATAAACGAACTGATATCAATGAGTTATTCTTTTTTTTCACTGAACTTTTGATCCATAAAATGCTTGGCATTTCAATTAGTTGTTCAGAGTTATCGTGATCTTTTGAGAATGATCAAGTCCCAAGATTTTCTTTCAGTAAAGGCCCAAATCAATTATATCGTCCTGTAGTTTCATGGTATTTACCTAATTGACTAAAATAAAACAATCTGTGGTCGACATTGAGAATTACAACATCAGACTAATTGTTATAGAAAAAGTTTTTTTTTGGATTTCACACATTTTGTATAAATAGTAGTAGATGATGGGTACAAGGAAATATGACAATTATTAAATTTAATTATAATGAGTTTTTAATAAGATAATCAACGTTACATTTACTTATCAACAGACATAGCTCATCTATTGTATGGATACAATTATTCAATGTGTTACTATTTATTTCATCTTAAAAACCTCCTTATAAATGGTTCCACTTAATCCTTAATTTTAATGAGATCATCAAGTTTATTCACTTCATAGTTAGAGACTACTTAAATAATTATCATAGTAATAATTATGACAATAAGCAAACAAACTTACTTTGAGACCTGTAAATTTGTTATAGAAAATTCAACTTTAATTTTGAATCGTTGTTTTCATTAGTGATTAATCAATCTTTATTCGGTAATTAATAATACATTGGTTCAATATATGACAAATCTAAATCCAAATTATTCATTTAGCAGTTTTGTAGTCTGTGTTTGATTACATGTTTGCCGATTCATGAATATCACCACGTAGATGAAAGTTTCAAAGAACCAACTTTTATTGAAACAATTTACGAATACAAAATTAAATCGATTCACAGAGCTACCGTTTAAATAATAATAATACTAAGGAATTTGATTCTACAGTGAATGGCTTGTAGGTTACAACCTGAATAGGATTGATCTCCACCTAGATATTTCTAGGTAAAAGTTCTAAATAATCGAACATATATATAACTAAATAATATGGATTAGTTAAGAGAGTAATAATGGATTGGGTGGTGTTCAGATATTTAAAAATAAAAATAAATAAGGTTGATTCAAAGTGATCTTATTACAGAAAATATCTAAATCAGACAATTTAAGTTAAAAAAATACAGAAAGGAAAAGATTAATTTTACTGAGTCGTCATTGACTTGAAATCCCTATTGGTTTATTGGGTCTGAGATTTCCTAATGTATGGAGTAAGTTCAAACATGGTTTTTAGATTCGGAACTCTAGTGTTTTATTTTTATATGACTGTTGCCTCTAACGTTAAAAGAATTCGAAGATTAATAGTTTATGTAAGATTATTATTGTATATTATTGAAAATCAGTGGCTAATACTTTTTTTTTCTACTTGGACAAAATGAGTTACCTTAATTATGCCTATATCTAAACTCATTGTAAGTTATTCATAAGTACTAATGTGATGTGTGCTACTGATATCGATAGATATAAGTAGTATGTATCGTCAACCGAATGCCTGATAGGAGAAGTTTAACAAGATCGAAGAAAAGGGAATAAGAACAGAGAATGATTGGTGTGGTAATAAAGAAGCAATGAAATCTGAGACAATGGACTGACATTTTGTAACTGACTTTCTGTAATTTTTTTTATTCAATACATCTCCTAACAGAAGCAGCTGAACATTAAAGAAAGTGGTTAATTAGAACAACTCATTTTTTAGTCTCAATATCACTACTAATTACTAATGTTGAAAAATACACTCATCAACGTTTTTCTGTACAACTTATTTTGTACACATCAAATACAGTTGGGAAAAATCAGTGACGGTAGAATGTTACAAATGGAGTAATTGACAAAGCTATCAAATTTACGTATTATTAATGTATTTCCAAAAAGGGGTATAATATATTAAAAATTGTAAAGCAAGCATTCTGTTTCTTGCCACAACCAACAGAGTTGTATTGCAGTCTATCATCCATATGAGTCAAAAATTTTCAGTTATTACTTAATATTATTGATTCTGAAATCGTATATGGATTTATTTGTGGTATTAATGATTTCCCTCTACATTAATATCTATTTATAACAGTTTAGCCAAACGTGGTCGTACCATTATATTTTCTATACATCAACCTAAATATTCAATATACAAATTATTTGATACGTTAACTTTAATCTATCGAGGTCAAATAATTTATCATGGATTGGCAAAAAAGGAACCGATTCGTTATTTTGGTCGCTTGGGTAGGTAACTCAATCCACCATTTCTATGATTATTTAATAATTCAAAATTATGAGTCCGTGAATACATTTAGTTTCCTTTTTGACCTAGATCGTTTTCTCAATAAATACGTACAGTTCATCTGGTTTTACAAAACCTATATCACTAAGAGTAGGAATTCTTGTGTTAGGAATAGTTTCGATGGTTTGGGGGTAAGAAAATCTGACTATTCAACGGAAAATTATTGAGTTTAAAACTCCAGAATTTTTTGAAGGTCGTAGAAGAAATATAAACATTCAGCTGTTAGTCTCTGGTTATTTGTGATAGGTTTACCATTAACTTTGACTAAAACTATCTTTAAATCCACTGGAAATCATTAACTAGCCGATCTGAAATATCAGTCATATTTAGTTTACAAGAGTTTAAATAGTCCACAAATATATGACCTATTTTTATTCTTATACAAGCAGATCAAGATTAGATATAATATGATAAATAAGTAATATCCCATGTAATGACTTTCTGAAAAAGTGAAATACAACCAACCAGAAAATTTAATTCCAGGTAAAAAGAGAATTAGTTGTGATCAGATGGTTTGTAAAAATGGATTTTATTTCCTGATAAGTTTTGTTATGGATTAACATCAACTATAGGAGCTATATTGAACTGCGAAGCAAAATAATTTCTACAGAAAAACTATGGATAAGTTGACTTCTATTCAATCTTCCATAAATATAGTGATTGCAGATACAGTTACAGTTTTAGAGTTCGATTCATTGAAAGATAATAGGGATACACGGCTGAAAAGTCTCAGGCTAATATAAAAGGACTAATATCAATCAATGAAAAAGCGCTTCGAAAGAACTTGATAATTTAATTTTAATTTTTACAGATGGAGCTAATATACAGTTTATTATTGAATGAAGTAGCCTGTAGGAAAGTGTTTAACTTCAATCTAATTTAGTAAGCATCATGTATTGTTAGCACTTCATAATACTATCACCACTGAAAACTGTAGGTGTGATAAGCAAACTGTAGTACACAGATTCATTGTTATGTGATTTACTTTTCGATATGACAAAATTGTTGATAAAGTTTTTTTCATTTTAGGTTATGTTTGTGAAAATCATAATAATCCACCAGATTTTTTTATGGATGTTATACATGGTGAATGTTTGCGTCAAAACGGAAATACGTCAGGTACTTTTACATAGATTAAATAATAATAATATTTTGATCTGAATACAAAAGTTGATTAGGATTGGTCTATTTCCGCGAGACCTTAAGGTTCTGGGTTCGGTATCCAGTGAGGTTGTGGACTCCCATGGCTAGGAAATTCCATATGAAGAAGAAACAACCGTCCAGTACTTACAGATTTTCAATGCATGTCTAAAGTCGGTTCTTAATCTCGATAACAATAATATTCTAGCACTTGTAGTAGTTGTTAAGTCGGTTTCCAGAGAACTCCAACAGAGCCTCCAGAGGCTCAAAAAGAGCTCCAACCAATCAGAGCACGACAGAACATTCTGGAGTTCCAACGTGGCACGCTATCATTGGTCAGTAGCAATTTATGTCGTTAAGTGGATTGGCTGAATTAGGATGTTGATTTAACTTAAGCAAACATCTATAAATACCTACGATTTTCTGTATAAAGATGAACCTTGTAGTAAAGTGATTCTCTGATACTCGTGTCTTCTCTCTGGTCTTTCAAGTCGCTGAGTAGTGCTAGCCTGGGGTTATCCGAATAGCTTAGGATCTGAATATAGCGTTCAACCCACAAGACATATCAGTAGTAGCGATAAATAACTGTTCACCTACTAAATACAGAAGAATACAATAAAGATGAAAGCATACATGAAATTTATTTTAGTAATCCATCTAGAGAAAATGATTTATATATTAATGTTTAAGTTATAGTTTAGTCTAACAGATGATAATGACGATCTTCCAGTTGAGCAAGATACTGTACTCTCAGTGAATACAAACTATGAAAGAGAAATGATTAGTAATCGATGAATGTTAGTATATTTATTTCAAACTTAACATAAGTTAATCTTAACTAGATAAAGATCTTGATTGAGATCATTAATCGATTGATGTTAGACTACTATTGAAAACCTAGAAGCACTGAATGACCGTTTCGTTCTAGTGTGGACTCCTGAGTTCGAATCCGGCATGTGGGATCGCGGGTGCGCACTGCTGAGGAGTCTCATACTAGGACGTGAAATATCCAATATGAGGTAAAGAAAATGAATTTTTCTTATTCTACCTTAAGCCATCTTCTGAACGCTTAACTGAATATCTTTTGCGATTTTAGTTTTCGAATACTTATTAGTTAGCAGCATCTAATACTAGACTGTTATTTTAAGGATTGATATTCTGTTCCAAAGTATTTTTTAAGAAGAAATATGCATGTAGTTAAAAAGCATAATTCAAAACTCAATCTTAACTAACGATCATTCGATTAGTGTTTCAGAAAATAACAGTCGATTCTTAGTCTCACTATTGTTATTCAAAATAGACACTTGAATGATTTTGTTCCATCAAGCGTACGAATTTAAAAGCAGCTGAAATAAGGGTTTAATGGTTGACTTAATATATGGTAGACAATTTAAGTTAGCCTGTGATACTCGTATCTGTAACTCTAAAGTTAAACAGTATAAATTATCTTTAACGGTCCAAATATCATTATGTATCCCTTACCCTTAACTTTAAATATAATATACGAAATATGATTATGGAAGTTGATCAAGAATCTTGATTTGTAAATTTATGATAACAAATACTGAATCCTTCTAAAGTTTGTTTGTAGAATGTATTTTCATGAATAAAAAGATAAAAAATGAGTTACGACAAAGTTTTACATGTTAACTCTTAGTTTCCTGAAGAAACATTGATTTTAGTAAATAGAAATCACAAGATTCTAAAGCAGTAGTTCAGAAGAAAAATATTTCCGCCAGGTGATTCCTATATGTTTTACAGAACAGAAGGTTCAGGCTAATAGTAAAAGTGAATAAGCGCGTCCCTCCATATTTGAGATTCATCAACTGGATGTACCCATAGCTGTGTTAAAGCTTACACCAGGACTCAAAATCAACAGCTTCTGATTCGGTCCTCTTATATGGCCTAACAAATTCATGCAAACAGACTGTGAGAAAATAAGATATCTGTAAAAAAACTCTCTGATTTTTTGTTGGTATTTTAATGGATATAAATTTGAAATATATTGGTATCTTTCCATGAGCACTATATAATTCAAACATAATTGTTAGTATTACTTATAAGACTACTGATTGAATGCTGGATATTAATCGCATGCGCTCTCTAATTGATTTGGATAAAGTAAAGAATTTTTATCTTCTCTTTTAAATTTATTATTATAGATGTCCAAATTGTGGATCATCATGATACTCAAGAAAGAATGCATTTAGTTGGACAACAACTTATTCAAGACTGGCAAACTTCAGAAATGGCTCAACAGTATGTATATTAATCTGTAGATTGATAAACTTATTTCATTATTCAATTAATCAAAGATAGCGTAACGTAGTCTTAAGAATGATGTAGAAATGGTGTTGAAATGTGTAAAATGTTTTTTGTCATCTAATGTGCAAAACAAGTAAACGGGGAGATGTATTTCTACGAAAATACTGTTGAAATTCAAAACAATGACAACATTAACTCAATTTTGATTAACTTTGAAACTTTACACTTTGTTTAGGCAAGACAATTAGACCTTATCTTTCAAGAATCTAGTCACAATACTTGATTGCATGGTAAGAACCGATCCATTGATAAGTAAAACGCTTTACATTTGATCAAGTAAAATCAGGAAATTAATTATTGAGACTTGTGAATTAAGGCAATATCGAGGCCTTAAGCACAGTATTCATATATGCCAATAAGAGACTGACCAGTTGCAGTCCTAAACATCAATGGGAAGATTCAAACAAACAATACTAAGGGAATTTAGTCACTGAAACTGTTATAGAAAACATGAAAAAAATTCTTGTTTTGAAATTGTCTATTTTCCTTTTTTTAAGAAATAAAGTCTTCGAACTATCGAAACGGAACAGAAACAAAACTGACATTGTATAACATACTTTTGAATTGATTCGTTACTGTTCTGTCAACCGTTCTTCTTTAAGAAGTTTTAAACTTAGTTCACAGATTAATAAAAAAAAGTATTATCATTTAACAGTATATACTGTGTATCAATTCACAATCCCCATAATTGTGAACTACATTAAAATAAGTCCACGTAATCCTAATTCTTGATTTAGGATTTATTCGTCAAAAATAAAGGACATAGAACCAGTTAGAGGCAAATATTTTTTTCATTTTGTTCATGTTAGTAGCCGAACGTTACCTTTTGTCTTTGATTAATAATTCTTCTATCCAGAAAAATATTGCATAAAGAGAAATGAAAGGAATGATTCATAGAATTCGATCTAGGAGATCAGTTCATTTGACAAGATTGTAAGCAAAGATGGATATTGGCTAGCAGTGGAATCCAGGATGCGCGTTTCGTCTTATTCAGGACTTGTTAGCTGAATGTACCTGCATCTCAGAGTTGATGGGACTCGAACCAAGTACCTTTCGCTTCAAACGCCATCTCATTATCCACTCAGCTACTGAGTCCTGATAGCCACTTGCTTGTGCAATGGAGTGGAGTTTAAATTCACATAGTATCAATGGGATAATTTGACAAGATGTTTCAGTCCATCTTGTAAATAAATATAATAAACTAACCAGTCAGTGACCATTTCTTTAATATTACTTTATTAGAAAATATGTCGTTTGAATTCATTATTGAACCTATTCCTTATAAACTTCACTAAAGGTTTTATAATCAGAAGGGGTTTTGTGAAGATTTCAGTATTTTTCAAAGTTGAAATCATGAGTCAATTGAAGGTAGACCACCATGGAAAACCTAGAAGCACTGGACGGCCGTTTCGTCCTATTGTGGGACTCCTCGGTAGTGCGCATCCACGATCCCGCACCTACCAGTCTCGAGCCAGAGCCCTTAACCGATAAACAACTGAGACGGCGTCTAAACGTGTTAATGTCTAACTTCAACCAATCCACATCCAATCCATTCACCAATTGTCTTCAGTGAGTTATCTCACAACAGACGTGGTTTGAACTCCACTAGTCACTGCTTCTCACTAGAACTCCAGAACATGTATCTTGAAGTCAGTCACTAGTGAGCATATGATTATAATCATAATTCGTGGATTGGTTGAAGTTAGGCAAGGGCTCTGACTCGAGACTGGTAGGTCGTGGGTTCGAATCTCGCGAGTGCGGGATCGTGGATGCGCACTCCTGAGGAGTCCCATAAGAGAACGAAACGGCCGTCCAATGCTTCTAAGTTTTTCATGGTGGTTTAGCTTCAATTGACTAATGATTTCAACTTTGATAAAGGTTTTTTATTAAAACAAAGCTGTTTAGCTTGGTATTTGGACATTTGCATAAGATATTATACATTTCTAAGGATACTGTAATAATTTCGATGGATACATATATATATATATATTTATTCATTGATGTTTTACTCTTTTTTCCTTAAAAAACAATCCTACATAGTGTACTGGAAGAAGTTAGCTCAATTGCTAATCGATTGGAAAAATATGAAAATGGTTCAAAAAAGAGTAAAGATAAAGCTGTAGATATATCATTTGCTGCATCATATTTCCGACAACTTAACAAAGTGTGTTGGAGATCAATATTGAATCTATTACGTGATCCTTTAGCATCAGTGATACAAACTATTGTTTATTTATTTTTTGCATTATCTATGGGTATAGTTTATTTTCAAATGAATGATTCTTTAGAATCTGGTATACAAAATCGTACTGGGTTATTTTATTTTTGCACATTACAAGTAATATTTGTAAATTTGGCTACAATTGAATTATTTATTAAAGAACGTGTACTTTTTATGTAAGTTTAGATCATTTGAATGGTATCTTAATTACTTGTATTCAATATTTATCAAGTTGATTTATCAAACGTCTACAATGTTGGACAGGATAGAGAACAGAAAGTCCGGTAAATACAGATCGCGAGTAATATTATCATTGTTATATCGATTGCTTGAGTGCTCAGTTTAATGTATGAAGTTATAAGACCGCCAATTGGAGAGCAGTGAAATTATTGATCGGATTAATGATACATAAAAGCCATATGAGTAGTCTTGAGTACTTATTAGTCCTGTTTTCTGCCTAGCGAAACCACTTAACAGCCTCTGCAATATGAATCATTATTCTCAAACATTCTGAGTTTATATACCAAACAAAGAGACCACATCGTACCATAAAATAGAATATAACATTTGTACAATATTTGGCCAAATGTGGCTGTGAATAGGGGAAACAGCAATTAATGGACTAAGGATAACTCAAGAACGGTAAATCGTACAGTAATAATCTATGAGTCGAAATAAAGCTCATAATAAAAGGAAAATGAATAGTTTAGTTACTTAACGATTACACAATAGGAAATATACATATTACATTGGTCTATAAATAGTCCTCAAGTTAGCTTTCATAATTCTCCACGAGACATAACAATTATTCAACAATTGTTGAATACAGACGAAAAGAGTTTTCGGACTCAGTTTCAATTAAACATGTTACTAGAATTCAAATTAACATTTAATTAGTTGATTTCTTATCTAATAAATGTCACCTTAACAGTGAGTTTTTCTCTTTTGGAAACCGCATTATGAACCATATTACAAATTTCCAAATTCTGTTGATTGATGAAAAGTTATACTTTTACAATATAGTACACCTTCTATGTAACATTATTTCATAAGAATTTGGTCAAGACATTTTAACTGATTATAAGCAAAGTTGGATAGTGGCTAGCAGTGGAATCCAGGACGCGAGTTTCGTCCTATTCGGGGCTCGTCAGGTGGATGTAACTGTATCTCAGACTTGTTGATGTTCACTCTCTGACTCGATCACAATACCTTTCGCTACAAACGCCATCGCGTTATCCACTAAGCTACTAAGTCCTGATAGCCACTTGCTTGTGTAATGGGGTGAATTTTAACTGATTATTTGAAAGTTTGTAAAAATGAGATTTTGATAAAATATCATTTTCAGTAAACTACTATCAAAGCTCTTTTAAGATCAAATCATTACAAAAGATGTATACAAATTCTATCTAATAAAATCGAATATAAGAGCTCAAGACACCTTCTACAGTAAGTGATTAAACATCTTCGGTACCTTTCTTACCAATAGTCGCTTATAAACTAAACAACTAAACTATAAATAAAATAGGACCGATCAGATGTTAGTATTGTAATCGGATGTTATATTACTTAAGCCTATATCACGAGATATAAGAAAGCGGTTGATCGTATACAATACTGAACATTCCTAAACTATAATAACCTAACGATGGATTGTATCAATTTCTTAATGTAATCTTTCCGTTTTAAAATTAAAATATGATCACTGCTGTATTGAGTTTTGTAATTTTACTTTTTTCTTTGTTCTCATTCATTTGCAGACATGAAAGTTCAAGTGGTTACTATCAAGTCTCAGTATATTTTTTTTCTAAAATTATTTGTGATATAATACCAACTAAAGTACTACCTATATTATTGTTTATGCCAATCTGTTATTGGATGGCTGGTTTACAAAAAACATTTGGTGCTTTCATGTTTTTTGAATTAATTCTATGCCTTACAACGTTAGCCGCTGCTGCAATTGCTTTGTTTATATCAGCAAGTATTACAGTCTTTGGATTAGCTAACGCTATAATATCAATTATTTATGTATTTATGATGGTACGTCATGTTTACAACTAATTTTTAATGGTAAAATTGACTTTAAACCACAGTTTAGATGTCGGTACCGGCGATACAATCAGGTTACTCAAACCAAAAAAAGATGTACAGTGTTTAAATTTGCAAAACAACGGCTGGAAACCAAGCACCTTAACCACTGAGTTATGGTCACAAGGTTTAGACTCTAAGGAGCATGATTATATCCATATTCAAACTGTTCGTGGATCCTAACACTAGGAACAGGGAATATTTTCCCACATCTATGACCGATGCCACATGATAAAATATACACTGAAAATACACGTAACGTAAGATAACGACCTCAAAAGAGGATCCAACAATTGGGATGTTGTTAAAATAGATTATAAAACAAAAGCTTACTAATAGTTGATAGTGTCCTAGTAGGTCATAATTATGCATTAATTAGTTATTTCAACTGATGAATCGATAACAATTTAGGAGAAGACAGACAAACAAAAATAGTAGAAATCACAAAACGCAGTAAGATATTTTGAACTTTAATCGTGATATGTGAATGTTCATTTAAAGATATAAGACGGAAACCATGGGAAATTATTTACTAACGTAATATAGAGAACCATAGATAGTCTAACCATTTCATTATAGAAGAAATCACTAAAAGTATTTTGATGACTGATTCCCAATTATTAGAAGTGCGCTAAAATATTATGATCCTATGGAACCTTACTATCGTAATTTTAGAAAATACACTTCCCTGTCATCTCTTATCCAAGTATCCCGCTACATAAAGAAATACATCTTGCATGGTGAGAAGAATATTAAACACTATTCAATAACTTTGCGTACCACTATCTCAGGAACTCGTATTCTTATTTATATCTGCAGAAAATGTTAATATATCACCATTCCGACTAGTACCAGTACATGTGTTCATACCAAAACCGAAACCCCTTAAATGCCCTAGTACGGCCGAGAGTGGGGAGAGTCCACTCTCCCTCTCCAAAAGATCTCACATGGCCACGCGTATATAGCCTCTGCTAGGGAAGTCCTACTCCCTGCATTCTCGTGGCGGGGTGTTGTTTACGAAATTGAGAGGATGAAAAGCGAATTTCCGGCGCTTTAACAGGGTTGGTGGACACGGAAACTCCGCCTGTAGCTCCTCTGTGGGTTGCTGCCGGTCCCAAGCCCGGGTAAAGGAGGAGGGTTGGGCATGGAGTTAGCGACCCCATCCCGTAGAAAATCAACTCACTAAAAAAACGCTAACCAGAAAAAATAATTCGAACCATTTAAACTCTGCCATGAGAGTAGAAGGAATAATTATGACGTCTCATGATGGAAACCGAGTTCCTTCGAAAGTCATGAGGCCGATGCACCTTCTTACAACCAGAGCGACAATTTTTATAGGTACATGGAATGTCCGGACAATGTGGGAGACCGGAAGAGTCTTCCAAATTGCTGCAGAAATGAGAAAATACAACCTGGAGGTACTTGGAATCAGCGAAACACATTGGACGCAGGTTGGGCAACAACGAATGTCTTCAGGAGAACTTCTGTTATACTCCGGTCATGAAGAAGAAAATGCCCCACATACACAAGGAGTTGCATTGATGCTGTCCAGAAAAGCACAAAATGCACTTATAGGATGGGAATCTCATGGACCAAGAATCATCAAAGCCTCCTTCAAAACAAAGAGAGAGGGCATTACAATGAACGTAATCCAATGCCATGCGCCTACCAACGACTACAATGAAGACGCTAAAGACCAATTCCACGATAGGCTGCAGTCGATCTTCGAGAAGTGCCCAACCAAAGACCTGACCATTCTGATGGGAGATCTCAATGCCAAGGTTGGAATGGACAACACTGGATACGAAGACGTCATGGGACAACATGGACTGGGAGAAAGGAACGAAAATGGCGAGAGATTTGCAAACCTATGTGCCTTCAATAAACTGGTCATAGGTGGCACCATATTCCCACACAAAAACATACACAAAGCCACTTGGATTTCACCGGATCACACTACACAGAATCAAATCGACCATATCTTCATCAACAAAAAATTCAGGAGGACGATAGAGGATGTGAGAATCAGGAGAGGAGCTGATATAGCATCTGATCATCATTTGCTGGTCGCCTAGATGAAACTAAAACACAAGAAGCACTGGACAACGGTGCGCACAACATCAAAAAAGTTTAATACGGCCTTTCTTCGAGATGCTGACAAACTCAACAAATTCAACATAGCCCTCAGCAACAGGTTCCAGGCCTTTCATGATCTACTCAATGGAGAGGGAACTACCATGGAGAGCAACTGGAAAGGTATCAAGGAGGCAATCGTTTCAACATGTCAAGAGGTTCTGGGCCAAAAGAAACACCATCACAAGGAATGGATCGCTTTTGGTACACTGGATAAAATTGAAGAAAGGAGGAACAAGAAGGCAGCAATCAATATCAGCCGAACAAGAGCGGAAAAAGCCAAGGCACAAGCAGAATACACAGAGGCAAACAAGCAAGTGAAGAGGAGCATCAGAACCGACAAACGTAAATATGTGGAAGATTTAGCGATGACAGCTGAAAAGGCTGCAAGAGAGGGAATCATGAGACAACTGTATGATACATCAAAGAAACTTGCTGGAAATTACCGTAAACCAGAAAGACCAGTGAAAAGCAAGGAAGGCAAAGTAATCACCGACATTGAAGAACAACGAAACAGGTGGGTAGAACACTTCAAAGAATTCTGAAATCGACCAGCTCCACTGAACTCACCCAACATTGAAGCAGCACCCACAGACCCCCCAATCGATGTTGGCCCACCAACAATTGAAGAGATCAGCATGGCCATTAGACAAGTCAAGAGTGGCAAAGCAGCGGGACCAGACAACATCCCGGCAGAGGCACTGAAAGCAAATGTAGCAGCAAATGCCAAGATACTCCACATTCTCTTCAGTAAGATTTGGAACGAAGAACAAGTACCAACAGCCTGGAAAAAAGGACTTTTGATCAAAATACCAAAGAAAGGCGATCTTAGCAAGTGCGACAACTACAGGGGCATCACTCTCCTCTCAATACCAGGAAAAGTCTTCAACAGAGTATTGTTAAACAGGATGAAGGATTCCGTGGACGCCCAACTTCGAGATCAACAAGCTGGATTTCGTAAGGATAGATCGTGCACAGATCAAATCGTAACTCTACGTATCATTGTGGAACAATCATTCGAATAGAATTCATCACTCTACATGAACTTCATCCACTATGAGAAGGCATTTGATAGCGTGGACAGGACGACACTATGGAGGCTTCTTCAACACAACGGCGTGCCTGAGAAGATAGTCAATATCATACGGAACTCCTATGATGGACTAAACTGCCAAATCGTCCACGAAGGACAACTCACGGACTCGTTTGAAGTAAAGACCGGTGTTAGGCAAGGTTGCGTACTCTCACCCTTTCTCTTTCTCCTGGTGATCGACTGGATCATGAAGACGTCAACGACTGGAGGAAATCACGGGATACAGTGGACAGGCAGGATGCAAATTGACGATCTAGACTTAGCGGATGATCTGGCTCTTCTATCACAAACGCAACAACAAATGCAGGAGAAAACGACCAGTGTAGCAGCAGCCTCAGCAGCAATAGGTCTCAATATAAACAAAGGGAAAAGCAAGACTCTCCGATACAACACAATATGCACCAATCAAATTACACTTGACGGAGAAGCTTTGGAGGATGTACAAACATTTACATATCTGGGCAGCATCATTGATGAACACGGTGGATCAGATGCAGATGTGAGGGCAAGGATCGGCAAAGCAAGAGCAGCATACCTACAACTGAAAAGCATCTGGAGCTCAAAACAATTGTCAACCAACACCAAGGTTAGAATTTTCAATACAAATGTCAAGACAGTTCTATTGTATGGGGCGGAGACGTGGAGAACTACGAAAGCCATTATCCAGAAGATACAAGTGTTTATTAACAGTTGTCTATGCAAGATACTTCGGATCCGATGGCCAGACACTATCAGCAACAAGTTACTGTGGGAGAAAACAAACCAGATTCCAGCGGAGGAAGAAATCAAGAAGAAGCGCTGGAAGTGGATTGGGCACACTTTGAGGAAATCACCCGATTGCGTCACAAGACAAGCCCTCACATGGAATCCTGAAGGCCAAAGGAGAAGAGGAAGACCAAAGAACACATTACGCCGAGAAATGGAGACAGACATGAGAAGAATGAACAGGAACTGGATAGAACTAGAAAAGAAGGCTCAGGACAGAGTGGGTTGGAGAATGGTGGTCGGCGGCCTATGATCCATTGAGAGTAACAGGCGAAAGTAAGTAAGTGTAAAAGGTAGACACGGAGGGTCCACCTAGGAGAGTTGGAAAACCCTGATTCCAAACCAATGGTGCACACGGGCTCCAGTATCCTGAGGGAACAAATGGCGTATGAATCAATCGTTGGTCACCGGCTACCATGGAACTGCATCTCCTCACGATGCTGCCTTGTGGGTTAGACCTTCAGGTCAAAGGCTTCGGTTGTGGTCCCCTAAGAAAACCACCTGCTTCAGTTTGGGCATCTGGGCAGTATCACAGCCCTCACATAAATCAAATGAGATTTATGTGACGCATATGTATTCGATGCCCCTTTGTACCAATATTTATGTGTTCAAGTAAATAATAAACCAAAACCGAGAAAAGTGAGCAAAAATAAATGAAACGCTCATCGGATAATAGTAAATATGTTTCACGTGAAGTATTCCCATTCTATTTTTGGCCAAAGTTTTAAAGAATTTATGTAAATGTTTTCAAAACAATATTCGTCTCATTAGGGTTATAGATATATCATTCTAACTAATGTTAGCAAACGTGAAAAATGTAAAGCTGCCTGTAATTCGTTGCCGGGTAAAAATATTGAGAATAGCTCCCTTAATCATTGATTATATTCATTTGCAACAGTTAATGATTTATATTAGATCTTTTTCTTTTTCATTTCAGGCTTTTTCTGGTTTCTTAATCAATTTAAAATCTATGGCTGTTTGGCTTAGTTGGCTTCGTTACTTTTCTATATTTCGTTACAGTATGGGTGGTTTACTGGCTATGGAAATGAAAACACTTCGATTTTGTCCTATGGATAATTCGAATACAACAATTAATAGACAATGGTATAATAATTTATTCTTTGTTGTTTTACATTATCATTGGTCTGCCTAAAAGATTAAGGAATCAAGTGTAGCTAAATTTTCTACTAAGCTCTCGTCATTTTACCAGACATTTACTGTTTTGAGTATTCTTATAAACCGAAATTAGGAATTGGATAGAGTAATTATAAATTTCTTCAAGTCTTAATGTTTTGGGGTTTAAATTTCCTTCACTTCAGCTAATTGTTCTTATGTTATCGTTCTTTATGTTGACTATATTAATCCCACTATCTCCTCAATTAACCCGCTTACTTTTATTATGCTTTTTAATCAATTTATTTCTAAGGACAGTTCAAGTTAGTTTATAGTATACGCTTCATGTATGCATAATAATGATTCACTTTCAGTTATATGTGTTGATTTGATTTCATGTAATTGTAGCTTTCTTTTACCACTAGATCATCAAAAAATAATCCACTTCTGCACTCGTTGAGATAAGCATTAAGAATTAGTTCTCATTAGTGATGTGGAAATATGTATGATTCATAAACATGTTCCATTGTTTAACTCTGATCATTGTATTATTCGTGTTCGGCCTAAAGTATATGGCAAGCATGAAAAGAGTACATTTACTTTAGACAAAGAAGGTTAAATACAGGAATTACTCAGAATAAAATATCCAAGATGTGAAAAATCATCTTTTGTATGAAAAACTAGGATATTTTCACAAATGACTCACTGGCAAACACTATTGATGTTGCCACTTGTTATTTAAAATTCTCCTTTGATGTTTGTAATCGAATTGAATATATTTTTATAAGTTTTGATCGACATATCTCCACAACTAAAACGATCACGGAGGAAAAAATGAAAAAAATGTACAAGAAAGACCCCCACCGAAGTTCGAAAGCCGTGTAGTTTAATCAGCCAAAAAATTAAATATCTGAATTGGATGTTTAGTCAGACACTCCGATCTTGTAAAAACTCTCCAAAGAGCTGATAAGTGGTAGATGCTTTGGCGATGATACCCAGCTGAATGTTCGTGACCTAATTGAGCTTTTTGCATATCAATCATCTGACATCGTGGTTTCTATAACCATAATTTTGAAGAAGTGTTGTTTCATTTCCACTGAAATTGATGCCTGAAAATATATCGAGTCAATTGACTCGATCCAGCGTTTAGAACCTGGAGAAATCCCAAACCTAATTTTTAAGAAGTGTGCTGACTTTCTGTGTTATTCATTCATGAATATCTCTAACGAATCCTTTTCAAAAATGTCAAGATGAAGATTATTTCAATACCAAAAAAAGTGTCTGGCTACATGAATGTAAAATGTAGACTCATAGCAATAACCTCACCTTTTTTAAAAAAAGGAAATGCTATTGCTACTCAAACTTCACTTTGAAATAAAGGAGCATACTAAAACATATCAGTCCGCTTACGAGACTATGTCCCTGCCTTTGATTCTGTTCCAAGACCACAACTTCTAAACACGTTTGCCAGCGTCAATACTATCAGCTGGATAACTGACTGGTTGTGTTCTTACTTCTATGAATAAAACAGTATACTGTGCCGACAGGGAAGAGTTCTACATCCTTAATAACTCAAAAAAGCATGTCACAAAGAACTGTCCTTTCCCCTTTATTCTCCATGATCTATCATCTACAAAATGCACGCTCGTTAAGTCTTCAGACGGTCTCACTGTATGTACGTCAATTTCTGACTCTTCAGATCCTGTTTGGAATGCGTTTTTGTTGCTCATTGAACGGTGGCCTGTCTTTGATAGTTCCATACTCAATCCTTCTAAACGTCAAACTGTTAATTTCAGCCTAAAAATGAACAGCACTTAGGGACGTCGTTGAAATCCTATAAAGTTTGTACTATCGAGCTTTTTCCTTTGATCTCTCTTTGTCTTCTTAGGTTTTATTGATATCAAATAAAGTTTCTAGTGTAGCTTATTATTTTAAGCAGCTACATGTTTTTACATCACTTGGCATTTACTTTTACGACTCATGAATCCTTGGATATTACCTGTTCTTCTTTACTGGGCTTTTGAGAAAAGATTTTGCTGCTTTACAACGAGTACTTAAGACGATTCGCATGGTGTGTATTGAATTTTTTTGGGTCATCATGAATATGGTTGTGGATAGAAAAATCCTGCAAACTCCTAGAAAGTTTTATCTTGTTAAATACTAGCCATCCAATTTATTTACGTCTTTCTCTGTGTATATTTTCTGGTAAAAACGAGACGCTAATACATTAGCATTCATTTACGTAAGCAAAGGCATAAAAGTCCTATAATACCTTGTCTGAAAGTTACTACAAGTTATATGTAACTTCCAAAGACATGATTTACATGCATTACGTCTTATGAATAAAGTATATATAATTAGAATTTATGCACAACGTTTGAAGTGTCTTAACACCAGTTATTTTTCGAATGTATTTAGACAGAATGTGTACATAATATGACACTCGATATATGCAATGATGAATTCAATCTCATCTCACTGATACAAATTCCATAGGCTATTATTCTTGTTTTATTTATGCAATCTTTTAAGCAAAAATCAAAACAACCATTAACAGTGGAATGAGAAATCAATCAAAAATTGCTATACTGTTACACTTGGTTCCTTACTGCTTAGTATTAATGTTTAAAATGTATCCGTTATGAGTAATTTTAGTTGCAACTAAGCATCTTAGAAATTTATAGGAGTAAAAGTGCTTAAAATACCTTATGTGATTAAATTAAGTAACTATGTTGATTTATGTACTTTCCCTCATTTCATAACCCTCTTTACAGTCAAAATGGCACGACCTATTTGGAAGACCAGGAAATCCCTTACATAACTGGATGGGATTTATGGTATAATGTTGTTGGATTGATGGTAATTATGATTGCATTTTACATTCTTTGTTATGTTCGACTTCGACTACTCAATAAATACAAGTAGTCTAACAGGCAAATGTGGGTAATTTGTTGGTGCACGTTAACTGAAAACAGGACAGCTTAGCTCGCGACAGTATTTCACCAAAAATAGATGACAAGCACAAAGGAGTACGTGGACTTCAAAACTAATTTACACAATTTTAACCTTTTTTGGTGGTGCCTTGTGTTGGATAATCTATTTACAAGCTACGTTATGAAAGAAACCGGTCTTGGGTATAAACTTCAATCGATCAGCACACCAGACTCTATATTTTGTACATAAACAGCATTGGTGAACTGGTTAGGCTGTATTTAATTGAAAAAAGTCTATTTTTATGATGCACATCTCTTATTTTATTCTCCATACAGACGTATCCTTTGAAAAATAAACAATGTTGTACCCAGGTTAATTTTTACTTACCACCTCATTACCATAAATAATTTAGAAAGGAAACGAATAAGACAACCTTAATTTCTTGAGGTTACGATAAGCTATTACATCATTAAAGTTGACAATGAATTAAACAATGAATGGAACCTGGGGTGTACAAAAAAACGGATTTCAATATACTGAAACAGTAACCATCTGAAATTCGAAAAATTGTACAACCTTATGTATGCTGACGGAGAGGAATAACAACTAGGTAGATATGATTCGTATCTCACTTTAAGCGGGTAATGTTGTCTAGCAAGCTAATAAAAACACCCAAGTAGTTCAAAATGAAAGATTTCGTGAAGCGGATGGAATAAATAAATCATCAGGAAGAATCAGAAATATATATAGTACCAAAGATTAAAAGAACATAACAAACTGGTAATTAAGAGATGACAAACGAGAATTAGTAACAGGAACTCAATGAAAAGAAATATAGCAGACGTAAAGTAAATGAACTCAATCTTAAATGGAGCTGTAGTATAGGGATAAATTAAGGTAAATGTTTAGCAATCGAAAGGTCTGTGTGATGACGGAGATAGTGGAAAGTGGTTTTGTGTACGGATCTATCAAAGGTCATGCATTACTGACACTTATTTGGTACATGGTTGAGACAGACGTATATCTTTTAATACATTTAGGTCCATCATGTAAAAACTTCAAAGAATGACCTTATAACTAAGTACTTGTAGCCGACTGAATAGTACAATGTGGTCAGTTTCAGCATTACTGAATGAACTACGTTCAAGAGTGTGACCCATAGGGACATGTTACTCAGCGATCAACCCACACATATGGTTGCAAAAGGCCTTTGTACGCACACATGGCTGCCATTGGAACTTTTCCCACAATATTACAGTGTAATACGAAACTAGTCGTCCAAGGCATTTGTGGGAAGGCAGTCAGCGTAAAATTCTCCAGAAAGTAACTTCGTGGAACGATTCACCGGGAATTCATCAGCAAGGACGCCCATGAATTCTATATAAACTTTGGTCATACCGCTTAAAGTAAAATGACCTGTAGTTTAGTTGCTACTTTCAACAAGATCCGTGCACAAAGTGATTTATCATCGTAGATATAACATTCTCATCTAGGATTTAAGGACTGAAAACAACGAAAGCTAACAGTAGTTTGGATGTTGCCGTAACCTATAGTGAGATAATAAGTTGCCATTATTCATAATAAAATCTGTAATGTTTTATTCATGTAATAAGTAAAGCATTAAATAAAGCTATAGACTTTTGAAGTAAAAGACAGGTCATGAACTCTGCAAAATACTAGTAATACATTCAATAAAGTTTATTATCAGTGGGTCTCAGTATAGTACTTCATTTTTCAGTCAAATATATTTCAATTGGCATTAACAATGTATGTATTATAAGGCAGTCTAAAACATAATAATTGGCGTGAGGATCTAGGACTCAGTAGTTTGGTTTGTTGAATCATAATGGTCAAGTTAAAGGACAAAAAGAATTTAATGGGAACTAGTTTGTTAGTCCATCAATATACAGTCCTCCGCAGACTAATATAGCACGACAAATGAGGAGTGTAAAATAGACATGGAATTTATGTGCTTCAAATAAACAGATATTGGTAACACTAACGATAAGATCTAGGAAACAATTTGTACTTTTTTTCTGTTAGAACCACTGATATCCTAAATTATGGAAAGAATGAAACAATTGAATTCTGAGGTATCAGATGAAAGTAAATGACTGATGGTCATATTACTACTGTGTTCAGACATGATAGAATAGTTATCTTTTTATTAAGCGTGTGTCATCCAGTAAATCGTCTAGACGCATAGTCATTTCTGATGATGTTCAGAAGAACAATGAAGGCTTCCCAATTAAACTTTCTAGCTCGGAGAACGACTTTCATTAAAATCACCTATCTGGGTTACAAATCTTCCCTATCTCAGAAACAAAGTTATTTTATATCATTTACGTTAACGAAATATTTCAATGTATGTTGATTTCGATTACATTGATCAACAATTCAAGTTTGAATAAACTATAGCTCAGTCGGTTCACAACCGTTTAGTCAATAAAATCGTGGTTAACCGATCTATTAATGCCGTAAGAGTAAATGTTACACCTAAAACAAAACAACTAATTTACTAAATCACAGTCTGTCTAAACCATAAAACTTAGTAGAGGAATATGGGACAGACTATGCCACACCTTTCATATGATGACAAAAATATAATGTGGATTCCGATCCTGGAATCCAACAGTTGAAATTCGATTGATTAGGCTACTGAGCAGCTGATAACATGTTGAACCAAACTTCACTGTCACTAGAACTGCAAGCTACTGCTTTCAGCCATAACAGCTAAAAAAGATGTCTTAACAAAATGTGCTCTTTTTTGAAGCGGTGCAGTACAGGACCATAATTAGGCCGGAATTTAACTTGCAGATGTTCCAGAGGTCGGCTTCATACCTTAACATAAGGCTAGAAGTTACGGAGTCACGATTTCAGATTTGGAACTTTTAAGTCCAAGTTATACATACATGAGGTATTCTGAAGGATAATATAATCTACGTGAATGCTTCTTAGTGGCCATCTTCTGTTTACTTGGTACAGTCATTACATTAAATGTCATATTTCATTCATCTCCAACTAATAATATAGGATTTATAACCGACATGCTAATACTACTGTACCTTTTACATCACGTTTAAATATGTTGTGATCCGTTGTTTGGTGCATCATAGTTTATTGGTTGATATGCTGTGGGTTATAGCATTCTAGAGTCTGGCCACCAAATACAGAAATTAACGATGATAAAATATTTATTATACAGAAGAAATTTACAAGGACTTTTACAAGGGACTTATTCCCCCTCGTTGACCAACATGTTTGGAATTCCGTTTGAGATGGTAAACTCTCGACCAGTTTCTGGACAAACCAGTACACCCTCCATTACATCAACTTCAAGAAGTGCTCGATGTGCCAATTTTAAGAATTCTTCGTTTTCCGAATAATTAACCGGGACTTCTTCTGGCAAACAAGGGATGTAATCTTCCCCAATCTGATAAACAATTATATAGAATAGACCAATTACTTCGTCTGCTACTGACTTTACAACCGACCATTCAACTTTCGGAATCAAACGGGCGACTGATGCAGGGTCATAATCAACTGTTGATACCTTTAACGCGTTCGCCTGAAAATATTAACTCCGAAAGGTGGTAACTGACTTTTAATTTCAGTGGATATCCCACTTTCACAGACTTTAAAACACGAGAAGTAAGTATGTTGTGCAGAAAAAGCTTCATACTAAGTCAGCAAATGAAATTATTTTTTTGAAAATATTGATCTTCAAAACAAGTACGCGATCTGGAAAACAGAAAAACAGTACTTAATCACATGTCAGTAGTGAGTAGTTAGTATGGAGATGGAGAGTGTAAGTCCATAGGATCTTTGTTCCGGATAGTACAACAAATATTAAACAGATTGGCAAACTGTTTTTTTAAGTAATTACTTTGTACTAACTCCGCAGTCAGTTACGTTAGTGTATAGTGGTAAGACTGAATACTTAATCCCCAGTCATTCGTAACGGATGTAAAGCTTAGAAAAAATGTGTACCAGTTCAATTCCCTAATCAACACAATGAAGTGAAATTTACGAGATGAATATCAGAAAATTCGAGTAATATAATGATGATAGTGCAAAAGACTAAACATTAAGAACATAGGTATAAAATAAGGGATGCAGAAGGGAAAAATTATCTAATGTCTCTAAATACTGACTTTACCAACACTGAATAAGTAGTCTAGATTTACTAACAAGACTCAGCAGTACAGTTAATAGCTGTAAGTATTGATGTCAAGTTCCTATATATACACTCAGCCTTCTCCGAACCCACTGGGATCTCACCCAATAATGTAATCTTGAAATACGCTGCTTCACTCAATGAGACTTTAAGTGCTGAATGATCCTTCAGCGAAACTAAACTGGCCATGAGGAACTTCAGACACTGACATATGTCGAAATAAGGATATGAATCAATGTGAAGATTTATGTCTAGGAATTAAAGTTATGAATTACGGTTAAGGACAGTAAGGATTTGCACTATGAGCTGACACCAGCTGTGATGGCAAAACACTGTCTAGTCATATTGTAGGAAGTTTAAAGCCTTGGGTTATTTACAGCTTGTTTCGACATCCAGATCATCTCAATAAGAAGCCTGTGACATCACCAACTATTCTGTTGCTTTCATTAATGTGTGATAATTCTGTGCGTTTCATGAGACATTGATGTACCTTTTCTCTTGTACTCAATCCCAGCATTTCCCACGCATGCTCCTTCTTATAAGAAGGAGTGGGTACTATAGTACCCACAATGCCTTCGAGTTAGACACGAAGCGCAAATATAAAGATGAAATAAATCTGCAATAAATATCGATTGCAGATCTCTTTATTCTGATTAGGTTCCTCTACCAGTGATAGTCACGCCGA